CACATATCAGGCCCTTCGTTTCCTGTCGGTCGCTGGCATGGCGGGCTGGAATCCAATCATGGAGGAAGCGGTGAATCACCGCTCATTTGGCGCCTATGAGTGTTAGAGTAGGGCGTGTGGCAAGGGAGGATGGCTAATGTATGTACCCTGAGTGTTGTATGTGTGCAATGTGCACTGCATACAAGGTACATAATTATTGGCTAAGTAATGCGGTGTGTCTGTTTGTGTACCCTATGCAGAGCAAGGTAGGTACTTGTGTCGGCTGTCGAGGAGAGATGGATAATAGGCCAGGTAATAATAATAATACATGCATTGCATGAAGAGCTGTAAGTGGGCGGAACTGCAGGGTCGAATCCGGCATCATGGGCCTACGAATCTGATCTTTGCGATCTGGAATCGGGGAGGATTGGATGATGACCCCGGAATGCTGGGGTGCTGCGTCTGCAAGCAGCGCCCTTGATAATCTACGATCAATCAATCCATCAAGGTATCAATATTTCTAGTTAGTAGTACAGAAGTACCTGCACTCAAAACAATCAGTGGCTTTGGCCTACGGGTAATGGAATGAAGGAGTCACTGAACATGGGAGGGGAATGGACTCGTTATCAAACAGTTTATCGATCAATAAACCTGAGATGCAACATACCTTGAATCCAATGCACATATTCCCCTTCTAGAAAGAACTTGTGAAGACGCAGGACCACAGGACCTTTCTGTTCTTATAGACCGTCTCCTTTATTGACCGAATTGGGGAAGCTGCCATATCCAGGACAGACACATATATATTTGCCTTGGTCAATGCATTCCCACGGTCGGAGGCAGCATTCGACAATAGTAGTATGAGTAGTCATCCCTTGATCCGGGATGCGCTCCTCCCATCACCCTCTTTCATAGCTTGGACGGTTGGACCTACACTATTGTAAATCCTGTCAAAGTGTCCATCAGACACCAATCTCCGCAATCCCAGGCCCTGTCTCCTGGAAGCTGGGACTCTGGCACGGCCTTTTCCCGGTCTTCCGCGGCCCATCCCGTTCCCCCTGTCCCTTTCCCAAGGAGTACTTTTTCCAAAAGTTGATTGATCGCAATGTCTAATTATTGGGTCTGGTGTGATGCCTAGCGGAAGACCAGGACAGAGACAAAGCAACGGAACGATCCTTTAGCCCTATTTTTTAATTATCACTCCCGCTCTAAGTAAACTACTGTTGACTAGTATGATAGAGGTAATAGGTATCCGCCTGGACGGGTGCGATCGTCGATGTGGCTCCCCCCGGCTATGTGGAAGAAATTCCGCGATGGCTGAAGCACGGTGATTGGGTGCTAGTCTTCCAATGTCCTTTTGCTTTGATTGCTCATGATCGATAGGTAGATTCGATGTCTGGGTCTAGACTTTTGGGATCCTGGACCTCGGGATACTTGAGTACGATGCACACCCTGGTAGTTGATACTGACAGATGATACATCGAGAGTACTTTGGTCTCTTTACAGCGTCGAAATAAGCTGTAGCTGTCATATTCTTCAGATGTTTGAAGTACCTGTGGAGTAGAATTTGAAATCACAAATTTTGATGGCTCGTCCATATCGTCGGGTCGATAAAAGTACTGGGTGGACACTGATACACCTTTCCCGGTCGGGTAATTGCGATCCTAAGTTAATTGCTTGATTGGGAATGTAACACAGAACTTTGGACTCTCTACAAAATAACCCGTGCTATCTATCTACCTAGTAGTGTCCTCTGCCCTAAGGCGTACCCGGCTGGATGGTTCTCAGATTTGGGTGTCGGTGGCGGTACCTAGGTATGCGAGAGGTCCCGTCGGGTACACATAGTGATCACCAACACAAGGCTAGTAGCTGAGAAGCGGAATCGCTCTGAATCCTTTGGACCGTTCCTAACATGAGCTCACGCCTTGAACATCCTGAACTCATGTTAAGAGTGAATCAGGGGCCTATATCCGTACTCGTCAGGGAGCGGTTGACCATCTTCACGGGTCTCGTCTGAGTGCCACTCCATCTGACATGTGTCATCTTGATGTGATTCCTCGTTGCTTGTGACATTGCTCAAATATATGACAGCCACCTATACCTGGCTCTTGGTAGTACGGAGTACTTGCATTTCTAGTCTGGGGAGCTGGTGCGGAGGAAAATACTTGACTTGCGACACAAAGGATTCATACTTTCCTTCTGTTTGTAGTAAATAACCTAGATAGAAGTCGCCTTCATCTCGATGGACAAAGAACAAAACCGTATTTCCTGGTCGGTAGGAGCAGACGGAGGATTACCTGCCGAGGGAGTCGCCCTTCATTTTTCCGTCCAGCCACCTAGGTACCATGGGAATAATTCCACGAGTCACAAGCTCGGCTGAAGTCACGGGAAAATCCAATCTGAAGAAGTTTCATACGCCTCATCCTGGTTGCCTAGTAGTGTAACTTAGTGCTGCCCCAAGACGGGGACATTTCCGGAGGAGCGGGTCGGGGACCGTTGGATGCGACAGAATTGCCTGGGCCTCACAGATGGAATACTACAATCTAGCAACGAGGTTACTTCCCCGTATTCATGGGCTTCTCATTTATCCTAGGTTACTTCAGAGGGCTGGACATGGATTTTAGCGGGGGTGGGTTGAAGACAAAGACACGGTTCAATAACCTAATTAATGGATTTGAACGCGTTGGAGCCGAACAAAGAGCTCCGCGCCCCCGTCCCATGGTCTGGGTTACTTAGCTATCATGTGTTCGAACTCCGAGGTACCACCAGTCGCTCTTTCGTGGGGGTGCCTCACTACCTCGGGTGGGAGCACATCTCAAAATAAAGAAGCAATCTGCTGATGATCACAGTTCACTTCGAAGAGATTGCGATTCTTTGTACTCGAGTTGAGGACAAAAGGAGGATTTGGCTGATCTTATGGTCATGGGCATGGCAAAATGAATTTTACCGCGACCGCGAGATGCGACTGAAGAAAGCGTAAAATAAGGACCGAAATAAGGACGCATGCGTACCAGGTCTTAACAATTAGCCGGGTCTCCACCGCGGATGCCGCGCAATTTACCGCGCTTTAGGGGCAGGGAGGTATTCTTTTCTTTTTCTAGCTTGTTATGTGGGAGCTACGATCAGTATTCAGGAGCCAACGCAAATAACCTTGGGCAGAGAGTTCAAGTCTTCAACAATCAGGATGCAAAAATCAATCATTTCCCAGGCTTGCTGTTTGTCGCCCTGACCGCCAGAGAGAATGGCCAGGAAACAACACACAGATAAGGGCCTAAACACTCGACATCCACCTATCTACACGCAACGTTTGCAGGTTGCTATCTGGCTGGACCGTCGACATGTATATACTCCCGTAAGAACTTGCGGAGTTGCATCCGCCCGCTGTACGTACACTGTACGTACCTCTGTGGCATCGTGCATCCGCTGCGAGGAATGGATCAAACCACAGGAGCGGTGAAAATCGAGCTATCATCTTGTTGTGTGATTCGACTGCGCACATTTCTGTTTGAGCTTGAATACAGCAATCAGCTTTCAGGGTGTTGACCGCAAGAAATACAGGCGCTTTGGTTGTCAGAAGGAAGTGGTTTGACTGTCGCGAGGTAGAAGGTGGCTTTCTTTTACTTTTTTTACTCTTCCGGTTTGATACGGAGCATGTGGTGACTGGCGAGCAATGATGTGTTCGAATCGACCGCCAGAGAAGTGGCGACCATGTTGAGCATTACTAGGTATCAATCAGCCTTCACAGCAGGATTTGAACAAAACCCAGATAAATTTGTCGGATGAAACGACAGTCATAATGGGGGCCTGTCTTACTCTTGTCTTGAAAAAAGTGATGTTACATCTGAAGCTCGTCTATATGATAGTTGTCAGACGCCGAAATAGAGTCGGTCAGATTGCACGGGGTTCTATTTCGGCACTGACGATAATAATATCCATAATGGGAAATAATACTTTACCTCTGATTTTGGGGGGGATTATTCCTCCGGGAATTTCCTCAAAAAGAATAATCATTTATTTTATTTTATTTGTTTTATTTTCTTGCTACCCGTTCCTTCCATTATTTATGATTTATCCCTTCTTCCCCACGCCCGCCCCCAATCCGATCTTCCCCGGCCCGCGGTCCGGCGAAAAGAAAGAAATAAATAAATAAAAAGAGGGAAATAAAGAATTAAAAAAAAAAATAGAAAATAAAATATTCGGGTGAAAGAAATTAAATAAATGCAACGAACAAAGGCCAGAAGAAATAGAAAAAGATAGATCCACGCCCACTGCACCAGGATCTCTGCTGTCAGATTGTTCTACTCTCTGTCAAACAGCTTCACATCCCAAAGAACGAAGTACCTAATATGGGTTCGCATTATCCTTCCACATCCATATCAAACTGGACTGATCAATTTCGACGACCCGTATACTACTGCTACACTTAAGGCCTTCGACTCATACCATCTCCTTCTCACATCCAACCATCTGTTGCATACATACGGAGCGCCCCTTCCGCCTGATCGCTGTGGTCGCAGACTGTTGTCACTCACCCCCCTTTCAGCTCTTGATCGTTGGATCTTCGGGCGGCAGTTTTAAATCAGGAATAAGAAAATACCTATACACCCCGATTTTCTGCACCTTTGTGGTATTTTTGACTGCAGAGTGGTGGAGCCCAAGCATTTTTTGTTTTTTTTTATTTATTATTATTTTCCAACCCCCGCGACGCCTTATCTGTTGGGATATGCAAGGGAGTCCAGACTTCCCCGATCATCGATCTGGCCATCTATCTATATAGATATACCCAGATACCCATTCACTGCTGCCACCTTCCGATCAGCAGTAACAACACACCATTCACTCTTGTCAAAGGAGTATTTATCCTTTTGATTTCACCATCTCCTCTCCACTCTCCATACTCTTACACACTCCCACATACTTCTACCTCTTCGACTGCTTCCAACGCGACACCTTCTCCTTGGTATCACACCTGTTCCAGTTCTACCAAGATCCAGAGGAGACACTCCACACACACCGGAACAATGTATCCCTGCCTCGCTTTCAGTCACAACCAGTCCAGTATCAGGTCCACTCCGAGCGAAGCCAGCCCGACCCTCATCAATCATGTTTCCGCTATCACTGACAGCTTTATGGGCGATGGCTACTTCAACTCCTTCGACTCGGAGGCTCCTAGAGCCCCTCCCCCATCTCTGGACAACGACACTCTACTCGATATTCATCCCCGCAAGACCTCCTTCTCTGATGTACTTGGAATGAGCAGCGCCTGCGCTTTCCCCTCTTGGCCCAAGCGCCCCAGTCTGCTGAACTCAGACTCGGAGGGATCCACTGCCACTGCTTACCTCTCAGACGAGGACCTACTGTTCTCTAGTGGCCCTGCTTCCTCCTCGGAGTCGGCTATTGAAGAGGAATCAGCTGCTCAGGAACCAGCCATGGGCGCTCATTCCTTGACCACCGAACAACAGATCCAGATGGTGCGCGCTGCTGTTGAAGAAGAAGCTCATCGTGCCCGTTTCCTGGCTCAAGTTCAAGCACATGCGCGCGCCCAGCAAGCTCTTCGTGTAGCTCAGATGGCTGCGACAGAAAAGGAGAACACAAAGAGCAAGAAGCGCAGAACTTTCTCGGACAAGAAGAGACGCGCGACATTCGTCAGGACCATTTCCAGTCGTTCTTAGAGCATTGGGGTGTTGTCATCGCATCTTTCTTACTTTTGTTACACCATAATCGGCATGATACTGTGATACCCCCGCTGCTCGCACTTTCGTCCACCCCACGTCTTTTTCTTCACAACTTGTTTCAAACGGTCTCCGGAGTTCTGGCATGTCAGCTGCATCGCCACTGCATAGCGCTTTCGATTCTTCTTGATTTTCCCATTTTGAACCTCCTTCAACAGCTATCGGGGGCTCCTATTCCTCGAATCACCGCAGCAAATGATGGCATCTGCCTGCTGTCAGATGCTGATGACAAGGCACCTGCTCTGAACCATTCTGGAAAGGATGAGCAAAGCGCGAGTCTCTGGCGATGACGCGAGAGAGGTTATGCACGTGCATCACTCAGGGTCTCATGCGGCGACTTGGTTGGTTGGTGAGGCTTTGCGCCGACGCAGGCGTGCGGAATTCCAAGCCCGACTGGATGCGCCGTGATTTGCTGCCCGAGACGGGCGGCCTGATTACATAATTTCCCCTCGCTGACGGCGCATTGCAACCAAAATCAAAAAAATAAACCAACTGGTCATCCCCCTCCTCCTCCTGGCCAGTCCCCGCCTTGTTTTCCTTCTCTCGCCTGCTTATCCTCTGCAACACTGACAGGGGTTTCTTGCGCCACGGATCAGCCTATCAATCTTCACGATCTCACCGCCATTGTGCCAGGCGCTTTCCATCAAGTCATCGTACCTAATAACAATGACTCACCGGAGATGATGCTGTCGCTGTCGCTGTCCAGACGTGACGGCCATCTCGAATCTTCCCGACCTGGGCTTATCTGCCTCCTTTTCCATCATATTCTTTTTTTTTTCTTTTTTCCCTTTTCTGACTGTTCTTATGCGTTGTCGCGATGGCGTTGGTGGGCATAGCCGGCGCTCTGTCCTCTCGATATTTCGGGCTTATTCTTTTCTTCATCATCAGCGAGCATGGGACCATCTGTCCCACCTTGTATTTAGCGGTTGATATCCTGTGTTTAGATACCCAGTTTTGTACTTTGGTCACGTCCTGTTCTGGCGCCTCATACCCCGAGCCTGTTACATCACAGCTCTTGCGTTGCTTTTGTGTTCTGGTCGGATTTGAAGCACATCCGCTAGCATAGCATGCACCACATATGGTAGCATAGCATTGCAAATACTATTAATTCAGTTGCATATGGGTAATCTTTTCCATGCAAGTAGTGAGAGTAATGTAGTCTAGATGAATACAATCCAGTGTAACATTGACCTGAACAAGTAACAAGTGCTCTAATCATTATTGTATTATATCCTACAATCAGAAAAATCTATGGAGTAGATACTCTACAGCCCCTCCCCAAGCAACTCCCCACCAACCTCCCTCATCAACCCCTCCTTCACAAAAACCGACATCTCCCCCTTGGCCCTCACCGTCTCCGCAATCCCCATCGCCCGGCAAATATCAACAACCGCCCCATCCGCCGGCGCCTCGTAGACCAGTAGCCCCAGCGCAAACAAGAGCCCATGCAGCGCCTCCGCGCTCTCCGCTTCCTGGGCGATCGCTTCAGCCAGCGATGCGGTGAGCTCCACCTGTTCCTCCTCGGTGAGCTTATCGGGGAGGCCGGCGAAGCGCGCGTTGTGGTTCGCGGCGGAGAGGTTGTAGGCTAGGGAGGCGGCGACGGTGCGGAGGTTTGGGTGCGGGTCTAGGAGGGAGGAGGTCGTGAGAGTTAGGACTGTGGTGTGGAGGTTGTTGTTGTTGGCGGTGATTGTGGTGAGATGGTCTAGGTAGAGCGGGGAGCTGAAGAGGTTGCAGATGAGCTGGAGCATGACGATGCGGAGGTTGTAGGGGCAGGAGGAGAGGTTTGTGGAGGGGGAGAGGAGGGAGAGGAGGGTGGTGTGGTTGGGTTCTTCGGCGAAGAAGCTTGATACCCTTGTGTCGAGGAAGAGGAGGCGGGCGAGGTCGACGAGCGCGAAGTGGTTTGCTGGAGGGAGGGCGTGGAAGGTGGATTGGAGGTAGGAGGCGAAGGTTGGGAGGGCGTCGGGAACGGCGACGTCTGCTGCTGGGTTGGTGGGGGTGGTTGATGATGAGCGGGCGGTGATGAAGGCGATCATGGACTTGACACGCGGGTCTTCGTGGTGCGGGTGGAGTTTCTGGACCAGTTTGTCTAGCGGAGGGACCTTCTTGTACATGACAAAGTTGGATAGATGCCGCTGGAAGCTGGGGAGACGGAGTTGGCGATGACGATGGGTGGGATGGGCCATCTCGATGAGTAGACGCACGTTGCCGCGCAGCTTGGCCGGGTCGGCACCGCTCCATTCGTCGAGTTTGTTGCCCTTGAGGAATGTCATGAAAGTCGGGGTCGCTCGTACCCCGTACTTCATGCTGACGTCGTAGGCGGCGCTGATGTCGACCTTGATGAGGACGGCCTTGTCGCCTGCCTCCTCCGCCAGTTCATCGTAGGTAGGATAGACGACCTTGCAGGGTGGACATGTCGCTGAGGTGAAGAAGATGACAGCACACGATTTGACCGCTGATTCGAGCTGTTCCTCGAGCTGGCTGACGTTGCTGACCTGTCGTACAGTGCCAGGGGGCGCTGGCGCTGCAGCTGTGACTGGTGCCCTGGCAAGCGGCTGAGGAGCTGGCACTGCAGCCTGCGTCACACCGCGCAAGGCCTGTTCAATCTGCGGCTTCATCATCTGCCCAAAGGGGGTACTCAAGAATGTCTGAGGCAAGTTTTGAATGTGTTCTGGGATGCCCTTTCCGACCAGGAACATCGCAAGATCCTGTGTGAAATTGTTGCAATTGTGCAGGAAGAGGTCATACGACTGTCGGTGATGCTTTAGCCTATGCCTAATGCGATGATGTGCAAGAGTGCCATACCTCTGGCGTATAAATCGACGCAAGCGACTGGATATACTCTTCGACCACGTCGATGGGGAGCTCGGTTTTCCCGAGAAGCAACTTCTCCATTGGCTGTCCGTGATGTGTACTGCCAGGGACGGATGTTTGAATCCCCTGGCCAAAGTAGTACTCGACACCATTGAGTACAATAGAGGTGTGGTATATGGCATCCATATAAGTTCCAGTCAATGCCAACGAATACTACAATATGTTAGAACAACCCCTACTGGGTCTGGGAATGTGCGGTAAAGCCATACCATCCTTGCGAGACCCTACAGGTCACATTAGTATACACAAAAAAAAGTACTTTACAGATAATCATACCTTGGAGAGGTCATAGACAAAGAGCTCTACATCCATCTTGACGTGGATGAGGCAGGAACGAGTCCAGTCGAATCAAATGAAGGCCCCTTACCTGACAACACAGGCCTGTATTCCAAGAAAGGATCAATAAAAAGAAAATAACTTATGTTTTGTTAAAAGATCTGATGTGATTGACCTGCTGCATCTGCGACAAAAGTTGTAGGAAATACAGGCATCAATTGGATCACGTCAGCCGATCTCCCGTCACGAGGGATTCCGTCATGTTCGATCAGATACTATCATATTGGCATGTGTCTAGATTGCTAATCTTATCATGCAAAAATCCTTTGATTATTCAACCCAAAACCGCAATTGCTGGAAAGAATCCCATGAATCCCTGAAGAGAGCGCTTGGTAGCAACTCTGTAGATCTTATCGCGAAGCTATCGCCCATGGACCACTCGGAGAGCATTCCTTCTCCGCACCCGCATCTCTTCCTTTGACGACAACATCTCCAGGTCAACTGCGCCATACTCTGCATTTCAACCCTGCGACATGGTAAGTGCACACTTTTCTTCTCTCTTTTTCATCATCAGCGCCACTAATTCATCTTCCCTTCAGCCCCCCAAGAAGCGCAGCGCCCCCGCCACCTCATCAGCCTCAAAGAAAGCACGCCAATCCAAACTCGCCAAAGAAAACGACATCAGCGCCGAAGAAGAAAGCGAGATCAAAGAAGTCTTCCACCTCTTCTCAACCACAGCCGACGAATTTCCCAATGAAAAAGAAGGCGTCATTCCCCGCGAGGACGTGCGCAAAGCGCTCGTGTAGGTCCCTCCCCCAATTCGTCTATGAACCCAGCGTGGACGCGGTATTGACGCAGCACAAAAGAGCGCTAGGTCTCCCTCCCTCCGACTCGGGCGAGCTCCACTCGATCCTCTCCGCCGTTGATCCAACGAATACCGGCTTCGTCCCGTATGCGCCGTTTGTGTCCGTCGCGGCGGCGAAATTGAGGTCGCGGTCTGATGAGGCGATGTCCGCCGAGGTGGATGCGGCGTTCCAGCTCTTCACGAAAGGAACAGATGGACCGATTACATTGGGCCATCTGAGGCGCATCGCGCGCGAGTTAAAAGAGGATAACCTTGGTGATGAGTTGCTCAAGGATATGATTCTTGAGGCGAATGGTGGTGCCGGGGTGAATGCCGGGGTTACGCTGGAGCAATTTCATGATGTTATGACTCGGGCTGGGGTCTTTTGATTACACTTTTGTTGCATTATCTTTCTTCGGGTGGGTTCAAGGCGTTCGAGGCGGTGTTACTGTTTTAGCGGGTGCCTAGGTTGGGGTTCTCATGTTTATATCTTGTCGCATCTTGTTGCACATACTGAGCTAAGTTCTATGCTGGTGCCCTCTAGGTTTTAGCAGACTACATATCAAACTGTATCTAGACGAAGATGTCAGAATGCTGTGGTCAATAAAGTCGAATAGTCGATGCAGCCATAGAGCATAGTTTGTCGAGTCTCAACATCACAATCCGATGTGGTGTAATGGCTAACATCGCTGTCTCTCACACAGCAGCTCGGGGTTCGATTCCCCGCATCGGAATAACTTTTTGCACATGGTTAAATCTATTTATATTCTGACAAGAATCCAAAGTTTTTTCAGTGACACATATATGATATGGTATTACTTGGTCTTATTTTGATAGGTTTTTGAATATACTAGAACAAGTTTCGCTTTGAAAACAAAGCTAGGAACAAAAGAGCGACCATCCGAACGCCTAAAACATGCACAGTTGGGGTATCATTATAAACAGTATACACAATTCGGAAGGTGGTTTAGGCCGCAGTTAAGGCATTACCTCAAGAGAAGATTTGCCCAGTGAAATCGCATAATCATCAGCCAGAAGCTGAAGCTTGTCAAGGGGCACATCGAATCTGTCTGCAGCGGACACGCTTGTCGCCGGGGACGTATCAGGAGAACCGTCGGTGATCGTAGACGTCGTAGACATATCGTTTGATGTTGCGGAATTGCAGACGGACTCGAGCTTCTCGTCCTCCACTGCGTATGTTCCCTCCGTCTGAGTATATTCTGAGCGTTGCCGATCAACGGCTTCGTAAAACAGCATGAAAGCGCCACCCTGAGACATCACGCTTGCCTCACTGACCATTTGTACATCGTCGTCACTCAATCGGAACCACCGTTCAGCTTTGTCCTTCTCGCCATCCGCCTCCAGCACGGTGTCTGGAACGTGGACCGGGAAGAGATCTGACGGGTATTTCCTGTAGCAGATATAATGCCCATTTTCGTGGCGGCCATAGTGCGTCACCACGGCCCGCAACTCGAAAAAGCGGCCGGAGACATCGGAAGCCGACCCAGCTTCAGGGAGCATAGACTCCTTAGGGTCGGTACCCCATCTTTCGGTGTCCATCTCACCCCAACTGGAGGACTTTGTCCCCAGACACCATTCGTTCAAGTCAAGTACATTGGGGAATCTGACGGCAGCATAATTCTTCCTGAGCATCCCTGTATTCTCATCAAACATGCTTCGGTTGATATGTATCACAAGGCATTTCGGCGTCCTCGCGATTACCGCCTGTCTTGATTTGGTCGACGTGACGCGGTTCTTGGACGGAATATGACACTTCTTCGACAAGGTCTTTTCCGCAAAATCATCCTCTTCTAGCGCTTTCTCAACAGCCCGCAATCGCTCTTCAGCTGAGGTCCTGAGTGCGCCTGACACTTTTGAGGAGTCAGGTGTATCTGGCAGCTTCATGTCTTCTTCGATCTGTTTAAGAAGATTTTCTAGCTGATCCTTGGCGCGTAAAAGGGTGCACTTTGCACATTCCACACCTTCAATGGGCTCGAGGTGCATGTACTGATCAAGGCATTGCCGTACGTCGTATTCTTGTTGCCCTCCAAGTGGCACCGTAAGGCAGTTGAACGGAATGAGGGAAAGACCTTCGGTCCAGCCGCATTTCATGCACCCTACTCTTTGCGCAAGAAGGCCCTCCAGAGGATTGCGAGTCGGGTGCCGTGCAGTTGCACGAGGGGATGAAACGTCTGCGCCATCCGCATCCGTATGTGAAGATTCCGCTCCGATGATGTTCTCGACTGGCCCTGCCATTTTCAACCCCAAATTCCTCGTCCGGCGTTTCGTAGCCTGCTGCACCTCGTGATCGACCTGACCCACAACTTTGGAAAAATATTCCTGCGCATCCTGCTGTTGCCAACTGCTCATCGATTTGAGCTCCGCTGGAATCCACAGCCGCTGATCATGATTATCAGCATTGTTTAACCGCTCGATGACGCCTTTAAGAGCCTGATGAGTCGAAAAGGATCCTTTATCCCCTAATGTGCGAATGTTGCGCTCCAAGAACTCCGCAAGCGAGCGCAGAGATGCTAGACCCTGAATGATGCTATTTTGATAGCATGAATTGTCCCAGTTTCCGAGCCCCGGGGGCAGATTATCCTTAGCGCCAAGTAACGCCGTGCCGAATCCTGAAAAGGTCGTAGAACAAGGAAGGAAGGAGGAGAGGGAGGAGTTATCGAGTCCAAGGATACGTTGCATTGCTTCGCTCTTCGCTTGAAAGTTCATGGAAAGAAGGTCCTTGTCAGTTGAATCTAGTTTCGATGTCTTCGAATCCAGGGCAACAACTATTCGAGACGGTGTCAAATAGACTATGAGGTTCCACAAAGCTCGTGGTATCGAAATCGGCGCAACTCCGAAGTAATTTAAGACAAAATAAGCCAAAAGGCCAGCCGCAACTCCGTAGGTCAGAGTGTTATTATTACTCTGCAACCGGTGCAGAAACGTCTCATGCTGGCTATTTTGAGGTTTATGTAAAGGACTCTGAGTGAGGATGTCGAATCCCCCTCTTCGAGCATTCATGGCTAACCAGAAGAGAAGAAGAACGACAGCATAGAGGCGTTGGGAGCATCAAGTGAGAAGGGAAGGCGAAGAAGGTGTGTTGCATCTGTATGGGACAAGGATGGTCTTACGCCAACTCGCGTCAGCCTTTGTAAAAGAAGCCGCGGGCTGCGGTTGCGGTCTCTGTCGGTCACCAGAACTTTTCTTCTATCGATAAGCGGCTTCTCCACCCACATCAACAACTTTTACCCTGACTTTTTTTTTCCATTTCTCATTTCGAGTATCATAAACACAAAATGGCCAAAGCGAGACGTAAGTTATCTACGAAGGATCTAAGAGGGAATGTGCTATTTGATGCTAACATCACTGTGGATTATAGCCAAGTCGATACATTCTCGCGCTGCTCGGCGGGCGGCTTCCCCAAGTCTCGACGTCGACAAGTCGTTGACTTCACTGCCACGAGCCGAAAACACTGTCATACAGCGAGAATCTGTTCTGAATGAACGCGCCAGTGCTGGGGTGTCGAAAAAATCAAAGGCCAAAGTCAAAACAAGAGCACAGCGCCTGAGACAGCAGAAGGGCGCTGAAAGAGCTGAAATTGTCTACTCTCGGCTGGAGAAGAAGGTAGCTAAGAGTGTCTCGCGGGCTAAAAATGTCAAAGCACGCAGGGTATGAAGATTCCTTGTCTATTTTGTAAGAATGCTAACGCTGACATGTGTCGTTCAGTCTGATTGGGAATCTTTAAATCGCAATGTATCTGGGTCCATGTTCGAAGCTCTTCAAGAGCGGGATGACGATAGCCATCTCGATGATGCTATGGTTGATGATTCTGGTGCGCCGGAAACCAAAAAGCGGACATCGAAGCCGGTGAAGGTCACGCAGAACCCTGTGGCAGATAATCACGCCGACATCGACGTTGATGATGACATTACTTGAGAAATTCGATGGAATAAGACAATGAATATCTCGAGTCAGCTATCTCCTTGGTCTGAGCTGATTGATCATTCGCTCAATTTCAGCAACGGCTGGTCCCGAAGCTTTCGCCCGAAGGAGTTCAAGAGTATTGACGTCTTTTGCTCTGTGGGCTTCCTCTCCTGCTTTTACGATCATTCCACATTTCACCCACATTTCAATCCTCTCGTCGACGGGCAGATTGGTGCATTTCGGAATAAAAAGCGAAGCAAGCTTGGTGTTGCCAGCACCTAGAACTTCATTATAGAAAGGCTATCACGCTGTATGTGAGTATGTGTTTAATGAAATATCAGGACGTGGGTAGTGTTTTACTCACCGCCCATCCAATCGGGGATTTCTTCTTGGCCATCTCTTCCAATTCACCCCAGTCTCTCTTAGCGACCAGGGCTCTTAATCGCAACCACCAATAAGTCTTGTCCGGCATCCTGAACTCGCTCTGAATCTTCTGCGCTCGTTTTCCGTAGCCCGATTTGATCAGTCTGTAGATAGTATCATTTAAGCTGAGGCCGACAAACTCTGAGCGATCTGCAATGTCTTTGTCCAAAGCCTCTTGGACCTTGAGTAATTGTGACGCTTCAGAGAGCAGTTTCTGCTGTAGAACCGCAGTTGCATCCTTAGAATCCGATAATAGCTTAGATGCGAGAAGGAGCTTCTCAGTTTTATGTGGCAAGTCTGTCGCATTCAGTGCCTCCGATAGGAGGACATTTGAACCGTCGATAGGGCGGTCATCCTGGTAGAATAGATCTTTCAGCAACTCTGTATCATCCCCTCGAGCATTCGCTTCGACCAATGCCGAGGCGATGGGTCGGGTGTTGATCATCCTAAAGAAGCTAGCGAGAGGGAGTTTGCTCTTCAAGTGCAAAAGTACATAGATGACAAGATCATCATCTCCACTCTCGATCGCCTTGTCCAGGGCGACTTCGTCTTCTTCCATTCTCAGCAGCAGCGGAACTTGCTTACCACCCCGGGGTTCGTGGTTCAGAAGCTGCGTGGCCAGATGAGCGCGTCCTTCGTCGTATGCAGCTTGAGCAATCTGCTCGAAGGATATTCCGGGCTTGCCTTCCAATTTCTGCACAATGAGTTTGCACACGGCTTCGTCGTCGACTGTGGATACCTTGACCTTCTGGCTGGCCCAGTGAACATAGATCTTGTCCGCTGGAATCTGGAGATATTCGGATATTCGGATGGAAAGCAGATATTCATGTCGGTTAACCAGGCGTTCGATGAGTTTCTCCGGTGTGAGTCGCAGATATTGCTCATAAGAAATAGACAGCCCTATTTGGTAGTCCCTCACTGCTTTCAGCACTCGAAGTTTCTCCGTCATTTCGACGAACTCATCGCTGTTGTACAGATCCAAGACAGACTTCCCATAGGAAGCAGCTTTCAGTAGCCTCTTCTGCCAGTAGACATCAAATTCATGACCCGCAGCCTTGACACAAGTATCTACCGCTTCTGGTAAACTGGAGCGAATGCGTTGTATGTTTTCATCAGCCTTGGGCGACTTTTTCTCCAAGAGATCTACCGAATCCAGAAGGACCGAAGCTGGGCTGGTGGAACCAAGCCTGAAGATGGCTTCAGTGACATCTGTGCCGAGCCTAGTTGTTAGCCGTCGCTATGCCGCAAATCGTGCTCCACTTACCTGTAACTTTGTGTAAGAACTCGCAGTTATCATTCGTAATCAATCGGACTCCATCACACTCGGGTATCACATGCACAGTGCCGTCGTAGTAATACCTTCACATGGTAAGTTTGTGCAGACAGTGAAATCAAAGAAGATGACTTACTTAGCAGCAGCGCCATTGGGACCAATGAGATGTATCTCATCCTCCCATGCAATGACAACAGCGTCATCACCACACCAGTCGACGGTACGAGGAGTCACTCGAGATTGCGGGTCATATTCGGTGTGTTTACTCTGAAAATCACTACTCACTACCCAGACCTGACCCTCGGCGGTGTAAAGGGCCACGAATCGACCAGTAGGCGACACGCTTGCATGTTTGAAAGGTCCATTCTGAAGCACTTTGTCTTCTGCTTCTGTGGAATCAATCAAAAATATAGTCTTGTCGACTGCCAGTAGCACCTCCACTGAACGAGAAAGAGTATATGGTGGCGGAATCAAAGACCAAGAAGAAACTTCTCCTTCCGGACACGGCGCTAGCAGCTTAGGTCGCGGCTCGTCATAGTTTGAGACAGCAATCAGTTGGTTATTTGAGAGCAGAGCGACAAAGCCGTTGTTCCAGAACTTGCATGCTCTTACGCCATATTCTTCAGCTCCCTGCCAGATAAGGTTAGCATTCATGGCTCTGTTATATACTTATACTGACTCACGTTTCCTAGAGAAAACGACGTAAAGTCACCATACAAGCCGAAATATCTGCGAACTGTTCCATCTTCTGTGATTACAAGCAACTCTTCTTTTTCGGACCAGCCGAGCCCTCGAACCGTCCCATGTTCCCACTACAAGATTAGCATGAATACATCAACATCGCAGCTTTTAGCTTTGCCTGATTATATGGCAGGAAGCTTACATTGATGCGATTTATGTGCTTTCCAGAGCACGAATAGATGTCAATGCTTGATCTAGCCGTATGAGCATCGCGAAACATGTACGGCTTGCTTTCGTCCCGATGAAGGGCTATGCATCTCATCAGCCATCGAGATAGATTAAAATCACGCTTGTAACGTACCAATAGCTCCTCCATATGGCGCGCCGGCGACAATGTAGTTGTCCAAGTCCACATCCTCGTCAAAGATAGCGTCATACACGGTAACTTTCCTGTAAAAACTGTCCCCAAGTCGCTCCCAGTTCGCAAGAGGATTTGACGGCGCCATTAATTGTGTTTAGTTATATTCATTGATGAAAGATACGCAGTGCAGAGACATGTATCAGTCCAATGCAGTAATGGGCTTGGACTGATTGACCGCGGTCTGTTGCCTTCCTATCCGAAGGTCGACATGGGGTCCTACTCCCGCGCTAATCTCGATTGGGTCAACTATACCTTAGGCATCATTACGTGCCATTACAACTTGTTATCTTTCATCAACCCGTGACCCATTATTTCGCTTGGAATAGCGTCAACACCATGGCTCCAGGAGTCAATCATCATGGATGATAAAGAAGACATAAGCAGTCTTATTTCTGATCTTTCAGATCTTGAAGTTGCGCTTCTAGTATCTCTTGCTGTTCATGAACATTGTCTCATTGAGACAACAAACGACTGCATCCATGACGTTGCGAAAGAACTGGCCCTGGTAATTTTGTACACTGATTGTTCGCTCCTTGCTCAACAAGCCGCTAATACCTTCATAGATATGCTCAAGTATCTTCGGCCGGACGTGTAAAATTCTTGAATGCTCTTCGGCTACCTCCTTGGAGGATTTTTACTCTGAAATTCTAGTGTCAGATGTATTCCAGGCGAATGCGCCGTACTCACGCCCGCGTAAGGGTGCTGAATCTGTATGATGATAGCCACAACTTTGACTACACGACTACGACTAACCCTTCCAGTTGTCAATCCATCACAATACCACGGAGCCAAGGGATGGTACGAGGTCGCCTGGTTTACGCAATGTCTTTGGGGACAAGAGAGTCGTCGACGTCGTTGTCGCCAAGAACTTCAATTATGTTGACGAGGGTATACAACTTCATGCTTTGGAGGTAGGATTTCTTGATCATCACGACGATACTTTGCTGAACTATCGACAGTTGATGCGCTCCAAACGGTTGAACACAAATCATGGCCCAATTGAAGCTCGGCCTAACTTCCTCTTCGTCCCTCTTGTAGTGCGCAGCTCGGACCAGCTTCACCCTCGCTTGAATCATCACCTGGTGCGTGTCTTCGTTTTGTGCAATAGATGTCCGTTATCTACTGACGTGCGGCTAGAATGACCATCTCATCCTCTCTCACTTTCATGACCCTACGGACGGCTATGTTCACCTAGAAGAAAATACCGACTGGCTCTCAGATGGACAGTTGTCAGCCTCGTCTGTGGTCCGTAAATCGGATGCTCAGCTAAAGAATCAGAGTCTAGCAGTTGACCAAAAAGTATGCTTTTCTTTAACCTTTGGATTGACCTCCTGCTAATGAATTGGGTTAAAGTTACTTGACCAAATACAACGCCTAAGCGCCTCGGTCTCAGTTAGTGCAGACATAACACGGTATCAGCAAGATATTGTTGTATTCTTGCGACTAAGCCGCGCTGTTGCTGGGGGCATCACAGCACGATCAAACATGCAGTTTACGAAGCTCTCTAAGTATGTCCAGCTTCTGTTTCCCTTAGAGAGTACATTTAATCATTCCTGGCAGACTACTCGCAACATTACACGGGATTGACTATTTGACACCCTCGATTGTGGCTTTGGCGGCAAGAAAAGCCTTTCGCCATCGGATTGTGCTGGCAGAACCTGAAGACGATAGAAGTTTGCAATACGGGAGCGACATGCAGGCAGTGACTAAAGTCCTTGCTCACGCTAGTCCGGATTCCATACTGGACGGTGTTCTTGCACTGGAGCCTCCGTTATGAATCCACAAACAACCCTGATGCAGTCCACGAGGACTGTGTCGTAGCGTCCTTCACCAGATTTTCGGCCATGGCAATGCCTGCAGTTCGTCCTGAGAAAATGCAGCCCCCCAAAAATGTGCCTTCAAGGGAATTGTAGCCATGCACACCTCCTCCTCCGAAGCCTGCAACTTCGCCAGCGGCGTATAGGTTCGTGAAGCGAGTCCCGTCCGGACGGAGAACATTCGCGCTCAAGTCTGTCTCTATTCCACCGAGAGTCTTTCTGGTGAGGAGGTTCATTCTGACGGCAATCAAGGGTCCGTGGCTCTGGTCTTGGAGCTTGTGAGGTTTGACGACTCTGCTGAATTTATCAGGCCAGAAGTTGCGCGCATTCTGGATTAGCATCAACTGCGCGTCTTTGGTATAACTGTTATCTATCTGTGCGTCGCGGAGCTCAATTTCCCGTTTAACTTGGTCCGTATCCAGAGGAGGACCTCCATGTTTTTGTCCGAGGTTGTCCATTCTCTCAAGTAGCTCCTCCAGAGATGGCTCCACGATGAAATCTTCTCCATTCTTCATGAAGGCCTGTACAGGGCCCGTGCCGTTGGAACCGAATATCCGCTGGAGTATAAGAAGGATACTTTTGCCGGTAATATCCGGGTTCTGTTCTGACCCAGAGAGGGCGAATTCACGAGCGATGATACTTTTGTTCAAGACAAACCAAGTATAATCATACCCCGTCGAGCATATATGCCGTAGAGTAGCAAGTGTATCGCAGCCGGGATACAAAAACGGAGGCAGCCGCTTTCCTGCAGCATCGAGCCACAGAGACGATGGTCCAGGAATGACTCGAATCCCATGCTTCGGCCAGATCGGGTTCCAGTTGGTTAATCCCTCAGTGTAATGCCACATCCGGTCACCGTTGACCACGCTGGCTCCAGCTTTCTGGGAGATATCAATCATGCGCCCATCAACATGCGCAGGAACCCCCAGGACGAAAGACTGCGGCACCTTAGGACCCAGCCGATCCACTGGCCAGTATTTCTTCACCAAATCCAGGTTCCCGCCAATGCCACCTGAGGAGACAAGCACCGCAGCGCCCCGAAGCTCAAAGGTATCAACGCTCTTCCGCGAAGAAGCAACGCCTCGCTCGACGTCTGTCGGCTCCAGCACCTGCCCCCGAATACCCACCGCAGCTTCTGTCTCAGCATCAACGATGATTTCATCAACCTGATGCCGGAATCGAAACTCAACCAGCCCTTTCTTCGCCGCTTCTTTCACCGGACCAGCGAACGCGTCGACGATCGCCGGCCCTGTTCCCCATGTGAGATGGAATCGCGGGACGGAGTTTCCATGGCCGCCAGCCTGCCCACTGCCCCGTTCAGCCCAGCCCACACTGATGAATCTGACGCCCAAAGCATTGAGGTACGACTCCATATGATCCGTCGCAAAGTTAACGAACGCTTCTGCCCATTTTCTCGGCCAATGATCCGTTTCGCGGTCGAATGCTGCACTGCTGAACCAATCCTCCATGGCTAGCTCTCGACTGTCGCGGATGCCGTATCGGCGTTGGCTACTTGAGTTTACGCAGAAGATTCCTCCGAGCGACCAGAATGCTTGTCCGCCTAGATTGGCTTCGTTTTCCTGGTCGACGATGATGGACCGGACGTTGCGGTTGGAGAGCTCGTAGGCTGCTACCAGGCCCGCTAGGCCGGCGCCTACTATGACAACGGGTTGGTCATTCGTCGTCATTTTTGGAATGTGTATCTCGGAGTTTATGATGTCTTTTGAAGCATGCGTGTGGTTATTCAGACATATATAATTGCGTGCTGGCGTTGCCACTAGTCAGGGTCTTGCGCCTACCGAGGTACTTGCGCAAATCACTGTTGCACCTGCCTGTGGAGGATGACGGGGGGAGGTCATACCGTCATCCTTAGGAGTAACCAAGCTGTTGTTCCATCCGGTCTAGCGCAGCTTCTCTCGTTGGTGGAAATAAGTCTTACTCTCACCTAGGTACCTTACCTACACTACCTCTTCCAGCTGCGCGCTAAGTGGTTGTGTCGTCTGATCCACTCGTTGAAGTACCCCATGGCCCATCGGTGGGACGTTCCAATATATGTTCCAATTAGACGATCCAGAATGACTGCAGACGACCGAAGTATCCGATCATGGATGTTGTGGATCTCGGAACCAGCCGAGACGGTACCACGTCAGATGCTGACCCTGCAAAACATTACGCTCTCTCCAGAGAACATGACGGATATGGATCCTACTAAATTGCAACTGTGTCTACTCAGAGAGGAGGGCCCATCATGTGCGGAATCTCAGCGCGTTGCGCATCATAAAATCACGTTTATGAACATACGAAGTGCATACAACAAAATATGGACAACAAGGGTATTGCAGGGTATGTGGAGGTGCAGCCTAATCAATGCCTCGATACTCTCGGGGCATCCCTCAAGAACAAATCAGGAGGCGCAAAGCTAGCTTTCCTTTCTTCGGCAGCGTCATTCCCAACCACAGGCGGATAATTTGCCTGAATGGAGGCCATAAGCTTCCGCCACTCCGAAAGCACAGCACCGACTTCGATTTTGGCATCTCCGACTATGGCATCCATCTTGATGTCGTTGCGGTCATATCCAAAGGGATCTTCGAGTTGACAGCCAATGCCCTCAATGCCGTACAAGGTGAAGATCACAAGACTGACTATCGGGATGGCCCACCATCCCATGTCATCGACCATGGCGAATGGGAGCACACATCCAAACAGCGCGAGGACTTGCTTTTGATGGATTCTGCTCGTGCGATCAGCATCATGCAAGCGATTTCAACAAGGTGAAGAGAGTACTCACAAATGAGCGACAGGTATGGGAGTCAATTTGATGGTTTCCATCCTCCCATACGCATCTGTCAATGTGTTCAGCTGAGCTTGCATCTGACTCGCTCCGGGAGCGTTGAACCACCCCCGTTCCACGCCCCTTTTGATAAACCCATCCACAAAAAAGGTCAGTTGAAAAGGCAGACCCAGTCCGTCATGCTCATGACCCTCCAGGCCCAAGGGAAGGAGGCTCGCGTAGTCGGGGTCATACACCGCGGTACCATTCTCATTGACATCACTCCCCAAAGCCCATGCCGCACCCCATTCATCACGAAGGTGGTTCTTGACAGCATAGGGAATCGCCATGAGCACACGGATTGTCCGCTCGATGTCCTGCTGTTCAGCGGCGGTGGGAGGGCCGCGCTCACTGTAGCCGTTTGCGACAATCGTACGGACGAGGTTGCGTACACAGGTCGTGATTGTGTTCATGCCGTTGCGACCGTCCCAGAATCTATTGTAGGATGTCTGATTGCGGAACACGAGCATCAAACCCACGACGATAGACAGAGACGGAATCTAGAGCTGTTATCAGCAAAACACTCACACAACGCGACTCATGAGACTAGAATAACATACAATGCTATTCGGCAGACCGACTGTATCAAAAACATACTCGTCAAGGTAGACCACAAACGCCGTAAACAGCGCATGCAGGCACACTGGCACCAGAATCGCACCGTGGATAGCACCCTTGATGAACCGGAAAACTAACGGCCATCTAAACAACTTAACATCGACCACTCACAAATATAAAGAATGCAATGAAAGAATACATACCTCCTCGGCTTCCTCCGACTCGAGAGTAGATGCGGATGCGTCCCTGTCCGATGATGATGCGCGCCCTCGCGTCGAAAGCTGAACGTAGTGCCGTTCTGGCGCTCCAGCGTCGGAGAAGGAGGATCGCTCGTACTGACTCTCATGTTTGTATTGATCTCTCCACGGAAAACAAAATCGTTGACCACTGCGAGGATTGTTTATCAAAACAAACAAGTAAATGAGGTAATTAGCGGGCAGGAGGGGCGACCGTTTCAGACAATCTAGCGGTCAACGGAGTTCGAACAGACTCAGAACTACGGATACACGAGTCTAAATCTGGCAAGCCCAGAGCTTACTAGTCTGATATTGCGGCTCAATTGAATTATAATTTGTGAGGTGACCAGAACGATCCTTATATAGATGGTTGGAGATTTCACCTTGTCATGGCGAAGATGTGTATAGAGTAATGATCGTCAGTACATTCGAGATGGAGGAGTGGCAGCCATTAATCAAGCACAGATAAGGGCGATCTGGGCCTAACAGCCAACTGGCTAGGGCGGGGTATACACTACTGCAATGGCGTTGGTTCATATGGACCAAAGATGACAGTCTAATGGTGGGCTTGCGTCTTGATGATGAACAAAGAGGAAAGGCTTACTGGTTGCACAGTTATTGACTAGAGCCCATCTCCAGTGTGGCCCAGGCAAACTACCTACTAATCCTACCTGAAGCTGCATATGTGCATGCTCAACGCTAAGCGAGAGTAGGTGATATGAATAAAGCCAATTGAACCGACCTGCAATAAAAAGCACCAAACTTGGCATGATCGTCCAATAGAGTTCTGAAAACGAGAAAAGGATGCCAACGCCTAAGCCGGGCACGGAAGAGATACATGGTTCAAAGAGCTTGTCACAATGCGAAAACGCTGGATGTCATGATAAAAATGCAATGCGCTGGATAGACCCAATCATCTCGACCAAAAGCCGAAGCCAGGATGATGTGGGCAAGTACAAAAGAAAAAGCAGATGGGGTGCACAACGATGGGGTATATGTAGGCGGCTGATGAGGCATCTCGAAAAGGTGAATACGAGCAGCGGTGCAATAGCGAGACAGCAGCATAGAATTTAACCGGCGACACAAAAACTCCTGCTGGGAAAGATTATGAGAATGATTTGAATAGAATAAGAGATAGCACTTTATATGTAGAGGTGCAAGTCTGGAAGGTTTTGGAAGGTATCCAAGCTGAGCTGGTCAACATGGACATTCCTCAGCAATCATGGCATGCCAGCTCTACCATCAAAGGCCAAAGGCCCTGAATCGTTTCTAGGCGTTAGCGGGTTGTCATCGGACGATTCTGAGCGGAAAGGGGTGTCAGAGCGCGCCTGTCTGATCGCAACGGGGTGGGACGGAAGAACGGAGGCATCGGAACCTGTTGTGGGAGCAGATGTAATGTTGCTCACAGCCGGTTCAGGAGAGGCAGGTGATGCCAGGTTCGGAGTTCGCTCTGCCTCTGCTTCGAACGGAGAATCGTCCTGAAGTCGCATGTTCTCGATGTTATCGGCTAGTCCCTCCTCAGCGGGTGCGTCACTTGTTTGACGATTGCTTTCCGTGCGCTCTTGCGTAGGAGCTGCTGCCGGGCCCGATTCCGCTGAGGGTTCTTGGCTTCCTGATGAAGCCTCTGCTGCTGACGTCTGCGCAGGCTCCTGGATATCATCCTTCTGCTTGCTAGCATTTACATCGTTCGAGTCGTTGGAATCGTCCACCTCGGCGCTCAAGTCTGTGTATGCACGACAATTGGGACATTGGAACATCGGATACTCAGGAGTATGTATAAGACGGCTGATGCACTTGTAATGCCACACATGGGCACAAGCTGCCATGAACAAGCACTGATAAGGTCGCTGCAAGTCAAGTCAGTCGTCAGTCGTTTCACGAATATCATTTTCCAATAAATAATACTAACCAGGACCGAGCCGAGGCAGATTGAGCACTCGCGACAACCTGAATAATCTGCGGTTTCCCCTTTGCCAAGGTTCTTGATAAGGCTTGCAGTGTTTTTGCTAAAGAATCTGTCAGCTTCATCATCCCTGAACATATTTCTACCGGTCAAGGGGATCTGCCGTACTTGAACTCATTGGGTTGTTGCTGCCAGGAACGGTTGCACTCTATGCGAATCCGCACGCATCGAAATATCATCTCCTCGCCGCCTCTGAAATCGATACCGAGTTGTACGATGTCGCCATCCTTGATAGTGTAGAGCCTCGACACCATGTTTGGCTGGCTCAACCTCATGTGATTCAAGAAGGTCCCAGAAGAGCTCCCCACATCCTTGATATGCCACTGCCCATTTATATAGAGGAACTCGCAATGCTTCCGACTCACAACTTTTGACTTGAATCCGACAGGGGCATCCGAAGGTTCGGTGGGGTTAGCCACAGGCATACCATCGCGCTCGGAGTATCGGCCAACACGGATTACACTACTTTCCGATGGAAGAGTTCGCGAAATAGGAATGAAGTGCAAGGACGGTCTGGAGCTTTGGCTGGAATCTTGATGGGGAAAGAAGCGAATGGTGGCCTTTCCCTTCAGGCCAGGAGACGAGGAATTTTGACTCGCGGTCGAATTTGCAGATTCGGAAGCGTTTGTGGTGGGATTTGCTGAGGCAGACGAGCTCGCTCGCTGGTCGTCTCGTGTATTCGAGGTCCCTGACGAAGCTCCTGAAAGCGCCATCGCCTCGACTGAATTTTCACCGCCGGAGTCGTTCGAAGGGGTCGACTGTGACGAGTCTGTTGTGAGATCACGGGTTTGCAAATCTACGTCAAGAGCGCGGTAGCTGGGAAAGAAGACGGAGCTATAACGAGCGAGAGCAGATTGATCGCTGTTTGGGCATGGAGGTGGATGGGAGGTCCCCGCTGAAGGGAGAGACGAAGACTCTGGGCTAGTCGACGAGGCAGAGGAAGGGGAAAACCAAGAAACACGACTGCTGAAGGTATGTCGACGGGAAGAGCGCTGGGAATTTGCTGCAGAGGAAGAGGTATGAGGTGAAAAATGATTCTGAGTGTAGGCTCGTAGTTGGCTTAGTCGTCGGCGGGGCCCAGAGCGAGAGTCGGCTGGGAAGTTGGCGGTGGAGGCGGAGACGGTTGATGCAGACATGTAGGGCAGGGCAGCAGGCAGATGGAATAAAACACAGTAGTGCCAGACCAAACAAATCCTGCTCAGGGAGAACCTCTCACCCAGTTAACGAAATAGTAGAAAATATGTTATTTAGATGGCAAAACAAATATGATGATGATAATATGGTATCACGTCACGGCTGGCAATGTGCCTAGGCATATATAATGGTTCGGTCGGGAAGAGAGAGGATGGCGGTTATACTTGGCGCATTGCAGCTCAGGAACTGTTTGCACAGGAGAGAGCTTATGCGACGACGATATCGAGTAAGAAATTCGGGGATTGGAAGAAATCTTCAAAGGGAGGATGATGAGAGAAAAGAAAAGAGGATTCGTGCTTTTGCGCCGAAGAAGATGGTGGCCAACGATGCGAGCCGTTCAAGGACCGCCTGATGGTAAGATCTCCAGTGGGGCGAGAATGTAAGTAGACTAAGGAGTAGGACTACAACACCAAGATAGGTAGTCTAGGTGATTAGACTACTTGACGGACAAAAAGAACGGACTAAAAATGCATGAACAGAATGGCAAATTACCACAGATTACTGGCTTAGTGTGACCTTGTCGACTCATTGGGGAGAATCCGCTCTAGAATTGATTTCATCTCCTACTCTTACGAACCCCCTTTAAGACTTGTAGGGATAAGGTACTAGCTTGGGGGAGGCGATACTTTATTCGAATGGGGCCGCTGGGCCTCATAGGAAATTCCACTTCGTTCATCCTCCAGTTAACATTCTTCCCCATCGGATCCTCCAATGACGCGGCCATTACAGGCAAACAATGGACAACAGCCCTTACTGCAATTAGTATCTTCAATAATGTCCAAATGTTCCCCGTAGATAGGCAATTGCTGTCGCTGCGGTTTTGCTCCTCCTCCCCTCCCCTGGTCATGCCATGCGCAAAGATCCCTCTGGGGATTTAGTGCGGTGTCTGTAGCCTGCGGGGCAACCCAAAACATACCGCAGATGGCAGACCGTAGGATTTGCCTCGCAGGTGGTTGGACGCTTGCTTTTATTATTATTGGTTGTGGTTTCTTCGATGGAGACATATCCTGCACGTCTCATGTGATGCAGAACGTCTCCACGGAGTAGACAAAACCTTCTCACGTGGGCAATGTGACAAATCATTAACCTTGCATTTGATATCCAGAGTCGAGGCACAAGGCACTCTGCGCATAGATTCCATTTTCTGGCTGTCATATCGCCGGGAAGCCATGAGTGTACCGGACCTTGGATTGGTTTCCGGCGACACTTCTTCAAGAACTCCTCCGTTTCATCTGCAAATCGTCCAGGTACCTAGCTAGCGAGGAGTACATTCTAGGATCGGGGTGAACAGATAGTAATTCCCCTCATGGAAACTTACCTCCGGTAAGGTACACCGGACCCTTAAGCGGTATCACTGTCAAGGTACTTTATGAAAAGGCTTGTTCAAACGGCTGAAGCGCACATTGGCTGGGTCGCAACAATGGCTCAGTTTGTGATGCTGCAAGAGCAGATATTATTGATCATTGACTCTGACGCCTTCCTAATAGGGGTATCTCATGATATTATTTTTTATCACGTACATCTCTATAGATGAACGAAGGATGGGCACATTTATTATCTATCCCTCGGGGCGAATCGGACACAATGCGGAGATGCTGAGAGCCCGGATGACGTCATCTGCGCCTGAGAGTATCTCAGCTGCAGCATGATTGAATATGTCAAAAATAGACCACAGTACCTCTCTAAGCCTCTCTAGGTACTACGGTTTGCATTCAAGCCGCAGATTTGATGCCGGATCTAAAATTGTCTTTCCTCGCAATGTGAACCTTATAAACAGTCTTTAGTCTGTGCTTACATATAATGATACAACTAGAGCCAGCATATTTCTGGGTCATTGGGAGGAAATATATTTCTCGATGCGGCTCAAATATGCTATGCCACTGGGAGTCGTCTCAGATGGACCTCCATGAAGCTTGCTCCAGCTGGCAATGTTGCACTGCTGTCTTTGCCATTGTAGTAGAGCTGCCATGCTTGGTGTTCTTCACTATTGGGCAACTGCACAGCCAGCCACTGATTATCTTGTAGTGTCACGTATTCCTGCTCATCTTGTGTAGCATCCCAAGGACCGCATATCTGACCCTCACTATCTTCCCGACTCCCGTACCGCATCTCAGACGTCGATACATCGCAGAATACCCATCGCAGAGTGGGTGGGCATTCAGCTCCAATGCAGACGAATCCTGATGTATTATCTCGCCCAAACGCAGGGTGCGGGTAGAAACCGCCCTTGAATAGGACCATCTCAGGGCTTGGATGTTTTGTAATATACAACTGCGCGTTGTCAGGTAAAACCTATCAGGCAGTTTTAGTTTGGAACGACATACTTTCCTATTTGGATCCGCATAAACTTTGGCACCCTCAAGTTGGAGTCGTTCCTTTACTGAGCCATCCTGGAAGTTCGTTATAACTTGCAGATTGGACGGCTGTGTCCGATCAACTGCCTGCCTGCGCCTCTCATCCTCGCGTTTCAGGTCGTGGTCATCTCTTCGATTGTGCTTGTCATCCTCTGTAAGCCCCACTAGGCCTGGTATCATGGTTGGGATCATGGTTGACATCATGATAATGTTGACGATTCCGAGAACCATCTCGATGGAATGGAGAACTTTCCTAATGCTAGCGTCAGAGCTAAAACCAGGCATAAGTCAGAGTTCGGCCTGCGAGATATTAAATAATTGGGGTTCGTTGGACAACTTTAGCTGAATGACATGGTGGTATTTCCGCTTTCGGCAGCTACCCCCCCTCAAGCGACGGCCATTGCCCTTTCCTGACAACCAGTCAGAAACACACGCTGTGCTCATCATGATATATTTGACAGGCTTTTCAATCTTAATTAGGGATAAGCTCTGAGGCAAATTGACTCTATGATCTCAGCCAGTGGCTTAAGGGGTGGGACAAAATCATTCTCCGACGCTCTGATAAAAAGCTGCATTTGCGCAGAGAAGATTCGATTCCATTGGGTTGAACTTCGCCCAGTATCCCCTTTTTTATCCTTCACAGCAGCGATATTTCAATCTTGACAAACCACAACGCTGAACCCACTCCGTCACAAGAAGTACTGGAGACTTGAAACATGAACCCGGACCACGTGACGTAAGTAATGTCTTGCCTTCTTTCATCCCCTAAGAACACAACGTGTTCTCGGGCCAAAGATACTGTGCTGATTCATCTGTCATATTGAATCTTTCAGCGACGGGGAAAAGAAAAATGTTGAGGTCAAAAATGTTGAGGTCAATGACGGCTACTCAGATGCAGCCAAGAAGGATCCAAGCAGGAGGAATAAGGAGCAAAAAGAACCCAGCCTGAAGATCACCATTCATCTGGATCTGGTTGCTGAGGTCGATATCAAGATCAAAGCGCAGCTATATGGCGATGTTGTGATTGGTTTGCTTTGAGTGGCTGGAATGACGACCCCTAGCTAGTCTAAGTAAGTGTGAGTTAAATCCGAACTTCTCGACTTGATCATAATTCGTGTGTTTGTGTGCCTTTATCACATCAAAGTGCAGATATTTGAAAGATTGGCTAGCCAGATGAAATACTTCTCTGGGTGGTGAAATGGGCGGAGTAATGGTAACGCAGCGCAGTCCACATCAACTTGTGGGATTTCAAGCCTTTAGTCTCAGGATCGGACTTTGCGCGAGGCTCAGCGCTATGTGTAGAATGGACGTACTTTTGACAATTTTTGACGAACCGATATCCTGATTCTGGCCGTTTCTCAAAGTGGTATCCCCCACCATCCACTGACTCGGAAACACCCTGGTCGTGTTGATCATCCGTCACTTGTCTGGTGATCCACCGCGTCATTTTCTAGTCGCCATTTTTGGTCTCTTAGGATGTTTAGAAATCGATAGAAGAAACGAGTTAGGACTAGTCATCCAATATTCGTTTCGATGGGTTTCACACTTCACCAAGGAAGTTGGACGTAGAGGAAGGGTGGAGCGGAAACAATGTTCCAATCAACTAACAAGAGGACCGTCATGTTATACACTTGCCAACAGAAGAGAATGATTGCACATCATTGCGCCTCAAGGGAAAGTCGGCAAGGCAAACGTAGATGGGAACCAGGCCTGCTGGTAGGATTATGCCTTTTTTAGTTCCCGGAATCGATCAAATGCTTGCCGTTGGTAGTGTGATGACAGTCTACTCCCATATGTGGGCTTTATTCTGCTGCGGATTTATCTCATTGAAAGGGCTATGAGAATGTTTTTGGGTTCTGCAAATAGTAGCCCTCGAAGCGAGCTTGCGAAGTTGTCACTGGTGGCCTTGTTCAGGGGAGTAGGAGGCCTTCGTGTGGTTCATGGCGGATAAATAGCATGGCTGGGGCGGATGCGAGATGGGAGATAAACAGAGGCGAGCGGAAGCTGACGAGGACGAATTACCTCTCTGCATTTTGGGTTTCTTGAAATTGAACTGTAGCAAGAAGCTTTTTAGGTAGCGAAGATTAATTGTAGTCGCATAAACGGTGCTCGACATTGTCTATCTATTCAGTCGATAATCTAGATACCTGCTACGTCCATCAGTGAAACCTAGTCGAAGCATGGTTAGTCTCACTTGGAGCTTCCTTCTCCAGTGACAGCCGCCGTTGACGAGACTAAGGTAACCCAGCTAAACTAGACGGAGCAGCAGACCTGCTAAACCTAAACCAACCTGCCGTCTGCCATCTCCTACCCTTCCCCCCTCCCTCTCGTCTCATAATTCAGCATTCCAAAGGTCGGACACAGACCTTGGAAGAATCAAGAGAATAATTACCTCATCAACTAGAGACAGAGAGGGTTTATCTCACCTTGTCTTCCCGTCCTATCACGCGACGACGTTCCCTACCCTCCCGCGCCTACCTCAGCAGCTAGCTCCAGGTGCTATATGCAAAGCCTCCCGTCCTTTCTGTCATCGCCAATCGACTTCCATTCGCATCCTGCATCTCCTTGCTCGATCAGTCGCATCCCCGGATCGCTTACATCCCCGCGAAAGCTCCCGGTCTGAAAGAGCGGAGATAGAGAGAACAACAAGGGGGAAACTAAAGCTACCCCCCTTTATCTTGATCGACTGCCGTCCCTTACGCCTACCTTCGCTTTGAAACTGACGCTTGCGGGGCCTTCTGGCCTCCCATCACCGAAGATATGACTGCAATCGCAAACGCGTGTCTGTCCTGTCTATCGGCAGTCGACCGCTGGTGTCATATCACGGCCTGTCTCGGTCCTATCGGAGGTCGCTCGCGAGATGGAATTTATGAGACAACGCTAGCAGACAATGAGCGGGAGGCCGTATCCGACTTGCTCGGTTACTTGGAGAACGTACGTCTAGTTTTGTCCGCCTATGCACCTGCGCTTCGCACCTGACATATCTATCAACGTACTCGGGCCTCTGTTTTGCTGTGGAAGCTGACTTTACTGCGTTCTAGCGAGCCGAAACCGACTTCTTCTCCGGCGAGCCGCTTCGCGCCCTGAGCACCCTGGTTTATTCTGATAATGTGGACCTTCAACGAAGTGCTAGCTTGACTTTCGCCGAGATAACTGAGCGAGGTATGTCATATCACCGTTGTAAACCAGAAGTTGGGACTGACGTTATTGTGATTGTCGCAGATGTGCGCGAAGTTGACCGGGACACGCTGGAGCCTATCCTCTTCCTCCTACAGAGCTCGGACATTGAAGTTCAAAGGGCCGCTAGCGCAGCTCTCGGAAATCTTGCCGTCAACGGTTTGTCGCTCAATCTTACATCGTCGTCGAGTAGTGCTGATGGGTTGTAGCCGAGAATAAGGTGCTCATTGTTGCTCTGGGAGGGCTGGCTCCTCTTATACGTCAGATGATGTCGCCCAATGTCGAGGTCCAATGCAACGCGGTGGGTTGTATCACCAATCTAGCGACTCATGAGGACAACAAGGCCAAGATTGCCCGGTCGGGAGCTCTGGGTCCATTGATCCGTTTAGCGAAATCCAAGGACATGCGTGTACAACGTAATGCCACTGGAGCGCTTTTGAATATGACGCATTCTGGTAGGTTGGACCGTAGAACGGTCCTGAGCTTGGCTGACTACTCGCGAAGATGACAACCGACAGCAACTCGTCAATGCCGGTGCAATCCCTGTGCTTGTTCAATTGCTCTCCTCCCCTGACGTCGATGTACAATACTATTGCACGACCGCCCTCAGTAATATCGCTGTCGATGCCTCGAATCGCAAGCGGCTCGCCCAGACAGAGTCACGGTTGGTTCAGTCTCTTGTTCACCTCATGGACTCTTCCACTCCCAAAGTTCAATGTCAAGCCGCCCTTGCACTTCGAAATCTCGCTTCCGACGAGAAATATCAGCTGGAGATTGTTCGTGCAAAGGGGCTTCCGCCTCTCCTGCGCCTGTTGCAGTCGTCATACCTTCCCCTCATTCTTTCTGCTGTCGCATGCATCCGCAATATCTCCATTCATCCTCTCAACGAGTCGCCTATCATCGACGCAGGCTTCCTTAAGCCGTTGGTAGACCTTCTGGGTTCGACAGACAACGAAGAGATACAATGTCACGCCATATCTACACTTCGCAACCTTGCCGCAAGCTCTGATCGCAACAAGGAGCTTGTTCTGCAGGCCGGTGCCGTACAGAAATGCAAAGATCTGGTCCTTAGGGTTCCTCTGAGTGTGCAATCTGAAATGACCGCTGCAATCGCTGTGCTGGCTCTCAGCGATGAATTGAAACCTCATCTGCTCAATCTTGGTGTCTTCGATGTGCTGATTCCCCTTACGAACTCCGAAAGTATCGAGGTCCAGGGCAACAGTGCTGCTGCCTTGGGCAACCTCTCCTCGAAAGGTATGTCACCAGCCATCGCTCTACGACTTTTTTAACCACGCAAGTACTAATGAGCAACAGTTGGCGATTACTCGATCTTCGTTCGTGACTGGGCTGACCCCAACGGCGGCATCCACGGTTATCTCAAAAGGTTCCTTGCAAGCGGTGACCCTACTTTCCAGCACATTGCCATCTGGACTCTCCTTCAATTGCTGGAATCGGAGGACAAGCGACTCATCGGCTACATATCAAAATCAGAAGATATTGTACAGATGGTCAAAACGATCTCGGACAAGAACATCGAATCAGACGAAGAGGATGGGGAGGATGGTGAGGCCGAGGTCATTGCGCTGGCACGGCGATGTCTCGGTTTACTCGGAAATGGTCCAAAACAGACTCTTGTCGATGGCTAATGCGATGCTATCCCATAATTGTCACCGCTTCATTCCTTCTCGTTCATATCTTGACGTTTCTTCCTACCATTCTCAACACATCGGACCTTTACTTACCACAGGGTGCTAAGCGGGCATTGATTCGGTGTCTTTTCTTACGCTTATTTCCTTCGTCAGCGAGCATTTGGTGCGTTTATGGATTCCCGCTAGAATTCTCATCCATAATTGTCTGTTCGTCTATAGTTTTCTTTCAGGACTGTCACGCTTATTTTACCCTGCTTGTGCTGCACATGAATACTGTATTGATGCTAGAGCAGATTTAAAGGTCATAATACTTTGAATCGCAGTATACCTAGATTTATTGAGAAACAATCCATTTCTTTCATCAATTTCCCATCGATATGTTTATGCATCTGTGATCGCGTTGGCTAAATTTATAGGCCGGGGAAACCTCCTTCCGAGCCGCGCTCCGTAAGACCGTGTAGCAAAAATTAGGTACTCCGTAGCTTCCAATCTTCCTCTTCCAAACCAAAATCCAACTCCCTTTTTGCGCCTTGGGGAAGAAGCTTGCCACTTCTTAGTGCCGCTCAGTCGAGATGGCAAGCACTCTACCCTCTTTGGCTATTCCAGGTCAGCGCCTGGGGCCAGTGTCCTCTTACTCTGCAGGACCAGGTACCCACGTGCAGAATGCCAACATTTATGCATCCATTGCTGGACCAGTGGTTGTCCAACAAGCCCAACCCAGCTCCAAAGTAAAATCTATCCTCAGTGTCTCACGGAACCTGCCGAGGAAAACGGACTCTTCTACCTCGACCACACCTGCAAAAACCACCTCCACCACTACGAAACCGAAATTGAGGTACAACACTCTCCCCGCTGTCGACTCAATTGTGTTAGCACGCGTCACCCGTGTCCAGAAACGCCAGGCCACAGTCTCCATCCTCGTCGTGCTCGACGAGTCAGCCAGTTCCCAATCCCCCGATCCGTCGAAGACGGCTTCAGACAACGACAACATCGTCTCCATCCTCACTTCGGCGGCCAATCCTGAGAATCACAGTAGCTCCGACGAGCTTCGCTTCCAGGCGCTTATCCGGAAGGAAGATGTGCGTGCTGTTGAGAAGGATCGCGTCGTGATGGATGAGATGTTCCGTGTTGGAGATATTGTGCGTGGTTCCGTCATCTCCCTGGGTGATCAGAGTTTCTATTATCTTACCACTGCACGCAATGACCTTGGCGTCGTCATGGCCCGTAGTGAGGCTGGCAATATGATGTTTCCCGTTAGCTGGAAAGAGATGAGAGACCCCGTCACTGGTGCTGCAGAATTGCGAAAGGTTGCTCGGCCGTTTTGATCGGCGTCGATGGTTGGATGACGCTTTGGGATTGAAATAAATCGGCGTCGCCTATCATCGAACTTCCACCCCATTGATATTTCCAGAAGATCATCTCACCGACGCTCTGGGCTTGTCTTCTAGTCATTCCAGAGCGAGATAGATCTCGGAAACCTGATCGTGCGAGGAAAATTCGCGATCCGCGGTATTCTTCGGTCCTTGAAGGGGCCATTGGACTATGCCTTTGTTATCAYACCGGCATTCGGATTGTCCATATAGCGGGTCGGAATACGTCGGCGCGACGTTGACGAACAAGCATAGATATGAGATACCTATATGTTCAGCACTCTCGTGAACAATATCCTCCAGCATCACCGCCTACGAGGCTGTTAGCATGGAAGGACCTATTTTATCTTACTCATTCTTAACTTTTCAAACGAGAATGAAGAGATCTTTTCTCCCGTTTCTGATCCTGATGACATATCCTATTCGTTTATTTCTTCACCTCCCTAGTATCCATGGTTCTGGCCAACACAATGCTGAGCTGTGTTTGTCAGGGGAGGAAGATTAATGGTTTGTTCCGCGTGGAGGACTACTCATCTTCTACGACCCTCGCCTACTATTCCTAGTCCTTGATTGATGGATGTGGGAAAATCTCTTTCGAGGGCACAAATTTTGTATCTCTGCAGTATCCATTTGTAAGATGGTAGGTCTGGACTCTTTAGATTTCACAAAGAATTTCAATTCACATTTTTATCACAATACGCTATCTACTTCTTCAACGTCTTCTGCTTCTCCGCATCAATCAACTTCCTACCCTGGACAACCAACCCCTTCCTCCTCCGCACAGCATCCATATACCGTTTCGCCACATTCTCACGGTCAGCCAACTCTCCCAAATCCTCCAGTTCCTCCTCCGTAGCCGGGACCCAGAACGGATCTTCGTCTAGGGCCTCGAAKCCCGCGAAGATGAGCTGCGGCTGTGCAGCACCCGATGTTCGTTTGCGGATTTCCTCAGCGAAGCCGAACGATTCGGCGACGGGGAGGAGGGCCAGGACGGTGAAGAAGGGAGTTCCTTCTTTCATTGTTTCGGAGAGGATGCGGCCACGGCGGCGGGTGATGACGCCGTAGACGCGGCCGAGGACCTCAGCTGTTGTAGCATTGTTAGCCGGTGTTTGAGATGTGCAAGATGGAACAGGGTAATTGGGTTTGGGACTAAACGTACTTGAAGCTTGGATCTCACAACTGTACATTGCGAGCATGATCCGGGGACTCCAATCAAGGAAACCTTGGGCAATACTCTCGCGGACTAGTCGGATGACTTCGCCTGTCAGGCGACCGAGGTCTAGTTCTTCTTCGCTGGCGTTGATGGATAGTTCTTCCAGAAATACGGCGATGCCTTGGATGGGTTCCTGGCAGAGAGGGCCTTGACCTGTTGCGAGCTGGAAGGCGTGCGCGATCTTGTCGTTGAAGTCGCGGACCGTCAGGGAGTCGCGGCTGCTTTCTTCGGTTGTAGCGTTGGGCTGCTGGTTGGGGTCGTCGAGCAGGCTGCGCCAGTTAGATTGACGAAGTTGTCGGAGAGGGTGTAGTCAGACTTACAATTTCTCACAGGTGTTTACCGCAGTGGCGTCAACCAAGATGTTCGGTCCAACCCGTCGAGGACCGAAAGCAGTGATTCGGTCAACGACATTTGCCCATAATTCTTTGTCCTCCTTGACTTCCTTGTTGAAAATCTTGGTGAGTTCTTGTTTGAAGTCCTTCAAGGAAAGCTGATTGCCCTCTCGGGCTTCTCCAGAAGCATCACCGGACTCAACCTGTTGTGTGGTCTCCAACGACCCGTTGCTTGCTTCCGCGTCGGATTTGGCCTCACCCGCTGAGCGCTTCTCGGACTGGAGATGCTTAATTGTTCCAACGTTCTTGGAGATGAAGTCCGTTACTGCTTCAGGCAAGGGCACAACACGCAGCTTGACAGTCAGCTGTTTCGAAGGAGAAACCGTCAGGACACATCCTCGGCCAAGTTCTGGTTTCTTTGGAGGTGCCATTTCCGGCGCGCTGACAATTGTTTCCCGGTAAGGTACGATTGTCTGACCGGTCTGGATCTCGCATTTGGCAAAGCGCTCGCGGAGATCTTTTATGCAGCGCTCAAGATGCAATTCACCGGCAGTCAGAATCACATGCTCACCACTAGGGAGGACCTCATACTGAGCACATGGATCACTTTGTTCGAGGAGACGCAGACCGGTGACCATCTTGTTCAGGTCTGCAGGGTTCGCCGGCTCAAGGGAAACTCTTACAATCGGTGGGGCGTTTAGCGAGACGCCAGCCAAGTTGATACTACCTTCGAGCTGCGAGCAAAGAGTTCCGTTCTTGAGGACATGACCTGCAAGGCCACCGATACCGAAAATCACTCCCGCGGGAACGGTTTTGAGCGGCTCCAGACTCCTGCCCATAAGGAGATATAGGTCCGTGATTTTCACCTTCTGTGGCTCAGGGTGTGCATGAGGATGCGCCGGAGAGAATTTGGGTGCCAGCACATAGACCTCATCACCAACCGAAAGGGTGCCTGAGTACAATCGTGCAAAACCAATCAAGTGCTCCGGGTCTTCCTTTTCCTCTGGTTCCCCTTGTTCCTCGCTGTCATCCAGCGTGGTCACTTCGAACGAGGATGTGATACGCGCGTAGTCGTCCGTCTCATTTAAATTTCCGCCTGCCTCCGCCTGCATCTTCGCGATCTCTTCTCGCTTCTTGCGTGCGATTTCACGGGCTTCGTCTGCCGATAAGGTCGCACCGGAGCGCTTTTTGCTAGCCAGTAGCTCACTTTCAGGGACCGCAACCATCTTACTGACATAGGCTACCACAGGAGCGTCTGTGTCTGTCTTGAACGCTACCATTGCTTCCTTGACCTTCTTGTCGACAAATTCAGCACCAGGGGAGCCGTCAATTAGTCCTGGTAGTCGAGTGGCTTGGGCAGCCGGAGGGCTGGGAAGATATTCAATGACAGACACCAAAAGAGCAGTTGATAACGGAAGCCACATGGAAAACAGGGTCATCATGATATTTCTGGGATCACGCGAGCGAAGAATATAAGGCGGAATTGTGATGTTCAAGGACTTGGTGATCTTCTCCAACAAAGCTGGATCGCTAATATAACATCAGTATCAAAACAACCTCCAATCTTGGCTAATGCAACATACCCTTTGCCTTTGCCTCCACCAGTTGTAGCTTCGTATGCAGCCCAGATACTGTCTAACACCAGTTGAACAAACATTGGCTTGAGGGCACGTCCTTTCAAATGCTTCGGCCCCAAGACACGTTTCGTCTTGGGGTCAAGGTAGAAGTCTCCCCATAGCACTTTCTCAAGAATCGACCGTTTGATTCCTAGTTTCCTCTCGTAGAGAGCGGCAAATTGTCGAACAGTGAAAGCCCAGCCATCGATGGCACTACAGAAAATGACATTGTTTTTCTCCGGAGCGAAGTAGATTTCCTCATCACCCTTTTCCTCAAATTCCGCATCATCGATGCTGCTCATGTTTGTCTCATCGCCTTGTTCCTGCTTCTGAGCGGTTCGAGCAGCGGAGGCATTGATCCGGTCTTCCATGCGCTCTCGCCACTGGAGGTCTTCTTCCATCCGTTCACCCTGGAAGAAACTTCCGATGACGGCGTTGACTTGCTCTAAGAGTCTGCTTAAATGAGAGTAAGCTTCACTGGGGCTCATTTTCAACTCTCCCACCAGTCTGTCGATCTTGTTGATGACCAAGATCGGTTTGAGCTGCTCGACCCAAGTCTGACGTAGCACTGTGACAGTTTGACTGCAGACGCCCTCAACGGCGTCAACAAGAACTAGAGCACCGTTACAGAGCCTTGAAGCTGTCGATACTTCGCTGCTGAAGTCGATATGTCCAGGAGAGTCGATCAGGTTGATCAGGTACTCTTTGGGCTGAGGAGTAGCATCAGGAGACGACCGACGCATCATGGAGAAATACAGGGAGATAGCCGACGACTCCATAGTGATTCCTCGAAGCTGCTCATCTGGACGTGAGTCCAGATAGCGGATCTTGCCCGCCAACTTCGGGGAAATAATGCCATTTGTGGCGATGAGACCATCCGTTAAGGAGGTCTTCCCATGATCCTAAGCCATCGTCACAATCAGGATTAGAAGCGCTCAGGCAGTCAGTTATGCTGTAGAGTACTCACAACGTGGGCAAGGATACAAATCTGCGGTATGGTTAGCACTGAACAAGTAGAAAATATGACATCAAGGTGGGATGGAGGGGTAGCTCACATTCCGTATGTCCTCAGACCTCTGTTGGAGACGGACTAGATCATCTACATTAACGACAGGCATATTAAAGGACCATCGAGTCTATCAAATTTTTCCAGGTTTGACAACCAGAGAGAGTCCTCGTAAGATGAACTTTAGGGTCGGTTCCTCGGTGTTCCGCTGTCGCGGAAACGGGAAAAAAAAAATTATCTTCGGATAATGTGAAGTCAGAGAGAGGTTTCAACATCGCCGATGACAACACACCAAAGGAGAGCTCTGTAACAATTACTTGACAGAGGTTCTAGGCGAGAGACATGCCTTCACCTTGTCCGTCAAATGGTGAACAGGCCTACTGGGTTTACCAATGTACAGCTATATATCTACCCGAAACTGCATTAGCAAAGGTACTATACTCCATTATATCATTATCTAACAGACGTTATCAAGAACTAAGTATAGCATGTTTGCCTCATTCATCGAAGGATAGCTTGATCTTCTTCTTCTTTTGTTTCTGCTTTGCTTTCTGAGGTCCAGTATTCTCTTGCTGCGTGTCATTCTCGGCTTCAACACTATCATCTGCAATGACTTTCGCCTGTTTCCTCTTCTTTGGGCCTCCTATTCCAGCCAAATTCTGCTTTGACGCTCCCTCGACGTCAGGTTTTTCAGTGTCCTTTCTCAACTCATGACCCGACTGTTGTTCGGATGACTCCTGTTGTTTTTCGTCACCGCGTAATAGTGCCTCATATTCTTCCTTTGATATCACCTCGTTACTTTCTTCATCAATGTATGTGGGCTCGTCATCGTCCACGTCATCTTTCTTCGCTAATCGAGGTCGCGCAGCGGGCCTTTCAAGACGACCAGACGTATCTCCGTACTGGTTTCTAAGTTTCTGTAGAAAAGCGGGCTGTTTATTCTCTACCTGGCGTTAGACTAAGTGCATTGTAAGCGAGAACTTATAGCATACCATAGGCGAGATTTTTCGCGTTGAAGGACATGACTCCCGAATACAAGACGCGTTAGTCCCGAATCAGAGAAAGGCACAGTCAGAGATCGGTTTAGCGATGCTTGTGGACAATAGCTAAATTCTAATGCTTCTTCAATGTCTGTTAGTAGCGCGGATGTTCTCAATCGAACTGCATCCTGGCAATAAGGAGGGACTAATAGGACGAAAACGAGGTGGCTTAACCGAGCACGGATGGTTATACCATGATCAGAGTATACAGAGATACTTGCACGCGGAGTAGTATTGCTTAAGAGCGAAATGAACCTGGAATTCTGTACAGTGCGTGAGTTGCATGAGTGCCAAGCAATGGACGATCAGCCAGCTTTGCGGTGCGGCTAACCCAGATAGGGCGGAAGCCTTGTCTCGTCGAAAAGTCCAATGCGGCGGCAGCTCTCGCGTCAAGCAACCTCTCTCTAGACCAACCAACTCATAACACAAAACAATGCTGTGCGCAAGTGAGTTACATCTATTCCATGTCTTGTTTTGCTTGAATGTTTATAGTTAATCATTGAACAGTTTCGGGAGAGGCACCGCAGGTGCCAGTCGTCTCGCCCAAGAGCGGTATGTCAAGGATCTAAGGATTTCCCGAGCTTCATTCGTCTAATAGCGAGCAGGCAGCGTCTTCGAAAGACGTCTCATCGAGGCATATATTGCCGAGAACGGAAAAGATCCAGTAAATGGAGAGGAACTCTCGGTCGACGAGCTCATCGAAGTGAAAAGCCAGCGCGTTGTCCGACCCCGACCTCCTACCCTCACATCCATTCCCTCATTGCTCAGCGTGTTTCAAGAAGAATGGGACGCGCTGGCGCTCGAAACTTACACATTGCGTCAGACCCTTGCCCAGACGCGGCAGGAGCTGAGCGCAGCTCTCTACCAACACGATGCTGCTGTACGAGTCATTGCGAGGTTAACAAAGGAAAGAGACGAAGCTCGCGACGCTTTGTCCAAGGTGACTGTTAGCGCCGGTCGCGCCGGAGGTGAAGAAGCTATGCAGGTCGACTCTACTGGCTTACCCGATGCTGTTCTCGCAAGAATTGAAAGCACACAGGCGTCGTACGTGACATTGCTAATAGCTATTTCAATTCGTCTCTGGTAATGCTAACCTCACCTAGGCTGTCCAAGACTCGTCGCAAGCGACCTGTTCCGGAAGGCTGGGCTACGAGCGACGCCCTTTCTACATACAAGCCCACTGAGACGTCCGAGCCTCTCTGCGGAGGCGGCAAGGCTCTATCCGTTAACGCGGCCGGAGACATGGCTCTCGTAGGGGGCTCTGATGGCACCGTCGGTGTCTACTCCCTGTCTGAGAAACGTGTCGTTGGGAATCTGCAGACAAGCGGCCCGGTTACCAGTGCTGTATGGGCTGGTGATAAGGCAGTCATTGCGTCGTCTACGGGTGCCGTCCAGGTCTTTGAGAATGGCCAAGAAGTGGCGAACTTTTCTTCCCATGCTGGTTCAGCAACTGCTCTTGCTCTGCATGCTACTGGCGACATAATTGGCTCCGTTGGCGTTGATAAGAGCTATGTGTTGTATGACCTGACAACTAACTCTGTCGTCACTCAAATTTTCACAGACGCATGTAAGCAAGGTCTGAATCCTCATTTTGCGACCTAGACTAATTTCCCCCCCTTCTCCTTCAGCTCTTCATACCGTCGCATTCCACCCTGATGGACATCTCATCGCTGCTGGTGGCTCAGATGGTCAGGTCAAGATTTTCGACGTTAAGTCTGGCGCGGCCGCCGCCAATTACGCCATGTCTGGCCCCGTCAAGTGCCTTTACTTCTCCGAGAACGGCACGTTCCTTGCTGCAGTGGCAGATAACTCGACTGTTCTGTCAATCTGGGATCTTCGTAGCTCGAAGGAGATCAAGGTTCTGGAGACGGGCAGCCAGATAGATTCTATCTGCTGGGATTACACTGGGCAATTCCTTCTCACTGGTGGCCCCAGCGGTGTGACTGTTCAGCAATACTCGAAGGCGTCCAAAGAATGGTCGGAGCCTTTGCGCAGTGCCGTTCCAGCAGTAGCAGTGGCTTGGGGCTCTGCTGCCCAGAGCATTGTGGCATTGAACAGCGAAGGTGGAGTCACAGTTTTGACAGCACAGGAGTCATGATACCTTACAGAGAAGGAACCTCTTTTGTACTTCTAGCCAAATGCGTTTCCAATTTCTCTTTTTTAATTATCCTCAATCACTCTAGGCTTAAGAGGTTTACAATCAGGATCGCTACACAAGGCAAGGAAAATGCATGTTTGTTTCAAGGTAGAATGAATAAATGAGATGCCTCATGCCTCTACTATCCAGAAAAAGTCCCTCAAGGGAAGAGAAAATCTGATGCCCTCGCGCCCACAGTACACATGCAATGGGGTATCAAGAATAGGGAAACCGAAAAAACGCTTTAACTCCGCCGAAGACACACCATGCGAACCCGATCATCGTTGAACATACGGCCACAGAATACCGGCGATCAGAGGTATATCTGGAACATTGATTTAGGTGCGCTGACAGGTTTACCGCAATCAATGACCTGACATTTAGAGAATGGTTTGGTTCTCTGGGGAGTCTTCTTAGCCTTGGAAACAGCACGATTCCTGGCACATTCGCCACAGTATACCTTGGAAAAAGTCAGCTAGGTCCCGACATATGGTAGGAAGCTGGCACGAACATGTCCACAAGGTTTCGATACCCATATCTGTTGCTTTGTCTCATCCCCTGTTCCGAGCTCCTCATCACAATTTGGGCACACGACCAGATCGTCCTCCCCAGCGCTTCTCGTAAATCCTTCGGAGGGAGGACTTGGCGCTTTGTACGAGCTCTGACGGGAGCCTCTATCTGAAGTCAACCCAGAAGTAGGATACTCAACTCTCAATGACCTATCCCCGACTATCGCGAGATCCATGGCATCCTCAAGATCGATAGCTTCCTCCGCAGCACCAAGCAAAAACATATCCACCTCATCGGGCGGAACACGTTGACGTTGAAGCTCTCGTGCTCTCCATGCGATTTCTTGTCTGAAGCTTTCCTCTCTTGACATGAGATGACGCGGTGCCATTTCACGTTGCAATCGTATTAAATCCCAGAGATTCGCCCCTATGAAGCCCCGATTTCTAGGCGGAGGTGCCGGCACTGACTCTGGCTGGCGAACGGTAGCTCCGACAAACTGCACTTCCGGGCTGCTTGGGGAATCTACTCGAATTATATCTTCTGGTTCTTCAAGATCGACCACTTCGGCCATTATGTCTCTTCCAAATCGTGGTAGTCGTGGTGTTGTTCGCGAGTTGCCATTTTGCGGTCTTCTCTGGTCTTCCGGACTATCTGGCTCATTCGTCAAATCTATTACATCCTCTGTTAGAGGAGAGTCAGACATTATCGGGCGACGGAAATCATATCCATCTCCAGGATATCTCATCGGTGGCAACGGTGGGCGGCTATGCGGAGAATTGTGGCCTTGGGACGAGGATGGTTCAGCGTCTGAGCGCCAGCGAGACTGATGCTGGCTTCGTGATGGTTCAGACATATGATGATGAGGACGCTATGAAGAATAGTCATTAGATATGCTTGCGAAAAGTTCTGGTGGGTTTGTGTTGGTATCGTAAAGAAATGCCCCGCTCTGTGTAGTTCATGAATGCAATGGAACAAACCTTTCTTGGCCGCGCCGCCACAAACTGGATGCCTGAATCACCGTTCATGTCGAGGATGTGAGGTCAATGTCATTAAACGGAAAGAGCTGGACTGATAGGGGGAGAACATGGAAGGTAAGGGACGCTGGAGCATCCGGAGTCGGTAGGGCCTCCCGTTATTGTTGGTGGAGGCACTAGCTGGTTCCGAGTCTGTGGTGGAGAGATGTCATACCGCCGCCCAATGCATAAATTTATAAGCAGTGGCAAAAGGCATCTAGCAAGTAGGCAAAACCACGAACTGGCGCAATGTAGCATGATCTGAGGAAAAGATCATAAATGCTGGCGCGAATCATAGTCAAGGAAGAGACAAGACTTGTTAACCGGAGCCATTATCTTTCAGAAGTGCTATGACTGAGTTGTAGTAGATAACGATCCATAGCAGCGGTTCATGCAACCCGCTGTTTATCTGACATTGAAAGGTATCTATTTTGTACATACCGTGCAATGACCCCTAATAGAAAGGCCTTGGGGTTGTTAAGGAAAAACACGACCAGCATAGAAATAACCCATGATATACATTATACACAGAAAAGGCTGAAAGATGGAGCCTCAACACCACTCTAAACATCCCCAACACTGCTTCATACCATCTTGAGATCTCCGTGGTACGGGGACCAGATGCCTCTTACACTCTCGTTGATACTGGTGACGGGTTTCTTGGTGCGCTTGAGCTTCTCGCCGCTGGCTTCCTTGAGCAGATTCGCCTTGTTCAGAATTTGTTCAGGTTCCATATTCCGAACGCAGATGGCTTTCTCTCGTCCGTTGATATAGTGACCTTTGATTACAGGGTGTTTGTGCGGCCGTGGTGATACTCGGATTTCGATCTGAGGGTTGGCTTTGGCGAAGGAGGGTAGAGAGTGTTTCAGGAAAGCGCTGCATGACAGAACCACTTAATTTGATTCATTGATAGAGTAAAAGGAGGGCTGGACTTACACCATGCCTCTCGAACTACCAGCCCAGTCGCAGTAGTGGAAATCCAAACGTTTGCATTGTAGGATGAAGGCGCCCACGCCGTTCTGTAATTCGCAGTACGTCAGTCACTGAAAGGAGGCAATCATTGTTTGGCAAGGTGCTTGCATCATACCCTGGCCTTAGCTGCCGTCCTGATGCCTTGTACAGGCATTTTGTGATGTATTTTATGATCGCTGTCGGTGTCTAGCAAGTCATCTAGGAACAATTCGGCGACTTTTCAAGACCGCAAGCAAGGTGGTTCCCCATTGGCTGGCGGCAATCCCGCTTAGCGCGTCTGGCGCTTCTGTAGCCGTGGATCCAGGCAACTAATGGAGAACGCGAAACTCTCAACAACCTGGCCGCGAGAATCTGAGTCCGAGGGAACCTACCTAAACTCCTACCTATCGTTTCCCTCATGACTTCGAATCACTTTGAGAAGTTGTCGCTAGCTTGAAACAAAATCATTGAAGGATCAAAATGACGGACAAACTCCCTCCTCCCCTCCTGGCGCTCTTCCAGCCTCGTCCACCGTTACGTTACGTTCCTCCCATTGATCGCGCACCCGAAGATGTCAAGAAGAGTACCATTGGCGGCATCGCAGATTTTCTTGGAGAACTCAAGAAATACGAAGAGGAAGTTCCTTACAATGCCACAGAAAGCTGGCTGCAACGCAAGTGGCGTCAGAAGCTCGAGAAAAAGGAGAGGCTGAATAAGCAGGTGACTGAAAGCCTTGAAACTTGTAAGAGCCTTGACCATAGATTCGACGTTCGATCATGAGTGCTAACCGTCTGCCTAGATGATCCTTCGAATGATTCTCAAGCTCGGGGCGATCCCTTCAGGACTCTATTTGTTGCTAGACTGAGCTACGACGTAAAGGAGTCCGACCTAGAACGAGAGTTCGGTAGATTTGGGCCAATTGAAAGAGTGAGTTTATTTGCATTCGAAGTGTCATTCAAAGCTAACTTCTGCTAGATCCGCATTGTAAAAGACACAGTCACACCGAAGGGCTCAAAGAAGCCACACAGGGGCTATGCTTTCATCGTATATGAGCGTGAAAAGGACATGAAAGGTACTACTACTACTCACGATTATAGTGAGATATCTGAGACTTCTCTTGACCCCAAAAATTTGGCTCGTTGCTGACCTGATCATCCTTGTCCCGGCTCAGCTGCCTATAAAGAGACAGATGGAATCCGAATCAAGGATCGACGTGTCTTGGTAGATGTGGAACGTGGCCGCACAGTCAAAGGCTGGAAGCCTCGCCGCTTCGGCGGAGGCTTGGGAGGACGTGGCTATACTAAGGCGTTACCCTCGCGTCCCACCGGTCCCGGATCTTTCGGTCCGCCTTCTGGCCCTGGAGGGTTTGGCGGTGGATTCCGTGGCGGATTTGGAGGTAGAGGATTTCGAGGAGGATATCGCGGCGGCGATCGCTTTGGCCCTCGTGGCGGTATTGGTTATCAGGGCGGACGCAACGGCTTCGGTGGACAGGCTCCACCAAACGCTCCCTCCGGTCCCGGTGGTGGCCGGAATGCTGGCTTTGGAGGCGGCTATGCTGGTGGTGGAAAGTATGAGAGAGATGCCCGAGCCCCAGGTGTAACTGGCAGCAACCGCGAGCCTATCAGGCCCAGAGAGGGCTACTCAGAGCGAGACCGACGTGATCACGATCGTGATCGGGAAGGTGACCGTCACAGAGACCGTGATCGGGATCGCTACCGTGACCGCGACCGCGAACGTGACAGATATGGTGGCCGGGAAGACCATGGCCGCAAGAGATATCACGAAGACGATTCCTACGAGGATCCTCGCGCTAAAAGGAGGTACTGAACGTCCTTTACTGGATTAAGTTCCCCATCCAGGCGTCAGCATGGTTTGCTGGTGGGTATCTATGCCTGATCTTTTCCTTTCTTCCCTTGTCCTCTTTGATGCAATGGGTAAGGCAAGGTCACTTCAACAAAAATCAACGCCGACATTTACGACCATGGAAGCATTAATAACTCGCACAGTCGAACCGATGTGCCACCTTTATCTGCTTGTCACCAGGCATCTTCATCAGCTGAAGGCTTCACTTGTTACTTTTTCCTTTACGAAGGGTCAAGGTTTGAAGGCACTATTCGTGATGGCCCCTTTTCCTCCTTACGATCTCGTGGTCTCGCCTCTGTTCTGCGTGTTTTCCATCTCGTTTTCTTGTGTCGACCCGTTTAGGGTCTCTGTTACTCTGCAGGGGGTAAGTATGTATTTTAGGTAGCCGTCATTTTCCTAGGTGCAATTTGGTTGGGATCCGGGGATGCTCAGGTAAGAGACGCAGGTAAGGCATATTTAACGGCCATGTTGATGCCAGAATTCCTCGTATGCAAGTAAGAACGGGTAAACTGTCTACATAACTTCATGCTTGTCACCTTGTAGCTTTCTGACTCTGAATGGAAGATGTCCTGCATAATTGCTTTTCCGCGTGGTATTCTATGTCCATCGTACGCTCATCCGGCAACATATAGGATGGATTCATGATCTTCGAAGAATATAAAAAGAAAAAACACGAAAGAACGCCTATGCCCAACTCCAATCAATGCCCAGGAAATTTTGGGGGTAAAAGAAGAAAAAGAACGGTCTTGGAAGTGAAATTACTGTCCGTCAACCTCCATGCCCTCATCCTTCTCGAGGATCTTAATTTCACCGGTACTCCGAGTCCATTGCGCCTTTAGATCGACACGGAATTCGGCAGTAGCAACACCGAACATCTTCAGCAACGTTGTCTGTCTCGAGTCCAGAACCTCTCCCTCTTTGCAGACAGGGTAGCCCTCTTGCCCATCAGTCAGCTCGAGCATAACCTTGCCCTTCACTAGACGAGTAGGAACGCCCAGTTTGCGCAGCTCCGGCTCGATCGTGTGGCTGACGGGTTCGTCTTCGGACGCAGGAATCTCACCAGCACGGGAGTACACCTGGCCATTGGGGATGCTGAATGAGCGGGTGCTGACTGTGCCGGCACGGGCGAAGTCGAGGGGGCGGAAGGCGTCGAAGTAGGTGAGGACGGACTCGGGATCGCGCGAGGTGAAGAGAAGACCGACGGCACCTGTCAGGTAGGGAGAGAGCTTGTGCAGGTTGGGTGCGGCCTCGGTCTCGGGGTTGTGGCCGAGGGCAACGGACATGACTTTAGTTTTGCCAAAGAAGAGACTATTTGAAATGTTAGCCATTGAAGCACGATGATGTTTTATATTGCATATTGTGAAATTGTATATCTCGCGGGGCTGATCCTGAAAAACGGGAACTCTCACCGACTATCGGCAAATTCGGTGCGCACATCCTTCAAATAGGTGTTGCGCATGTTATCGACGGAGAAAACGAATAGGTGATCATAATTCTCGATACATTCGCGGATATTGGCATAAAGTCGTCTGGTCTGTTCCTTGTGGGACTTCTTGGTGACCTTCGACTCGTGGACGATTCTGGCACGCTTTGAACGAGGCATTGCGAAAAAATTATGGAATTTGAATTTCTGAAAGTGATTATACCGATGCGAGTCCCTGTATGCCTTAGAAGATGTGGAAATATACAGATTCGGAAAATTGACTCGGAGGAGTAGAAAGATACGATTATTTTTTTCATTTCTGATAACAAGCGGATTAATGTTGATGCGGGGCTTATCCGATTACGCTAAGTCGTATAAGGAAATGAGCTGATGATGTTGGGGCTTCAACCTTCTCTTTCCAAGGTCACCATCGTCATTAATTATCCATGTGCTGGATTTATCTCTCTCTCAGTGGAGATGGACTTATAATAATGGACAACGGCTGGGCTGAAGAACTGAGTTGAGACATCCCTGACAATGCTTGACTTCATGGACTACATCCAATTGGCATTCGCCGAGGCGACCAACTGGAACCGCGACAACTCATATTCGTCCCTGACAGCCACAGCGCAATGTATGTGAACTCGCCTCATGTATAAGCTCAGATAATTATGATCTTAACTTGATTGCATACAGCATTACTCGATTTCTCGACGCCGGAGCGTCTGCGCGTCCATCTTTCATCCCTAGCCACGCCTCACTTCGCGACCAGTTATACCCTCGGCACAGTTGGATTGATCGATGGCTCCGTATCGTACCTCTACAGCACTGTGCCTTTGAACAATACTCCCAGCCGGAGCGCCCTTATTCCACTGCGCAAGCTAGCGCGCGGTTATCGCCAAGTTCAGCCTCCAGTTGCCCCGGTTGAAGATTGGGGTTGGCAGTCACTTCTTGACGGATTTGGATCCTCCGAGTCCAAACCCTCCGGCAATGGCCATAGTCAACCTTCACTCGGGCGGAAGGCGACTCTGCTCAATGCAACTTTACACCTTCCTCCCCCGACAACTCTGAACGCCTTGTTCTTGCGCCGGATCTCACCAACCATGCAGCTGTCATTGGCAGTCTGCTCGACCCGGGGACCTCCTCTATCAAACTCTGCGCCGCAAGCTTCTCTCCTGGGTCAACTCTCCCACGACACGGGCAAGTATAGCAATGAATACCTGTTCAGCACGGACAATTCTTTGTTCGGCTGGCGGGGGCTGTGGAACTTCGGCCCAGACCCGCGCCATCCCAAGGAGAATTCATCACCACGACTATCACTACTATCAGCCGGAGCAGAAGCATATTACTCCCCCGTCTCTTCGCTCATCGGCATGTCAACTGGGTTACGGTTCAGCACCCTACCAGCAGCCACCGAGATGCCGTCATCATCATCATCATCGACATCTAGTACAACCACAACCTCAAACCACGGCACCCCGATCTCCACCTTCCCATACACCCTCACCCTGGTCCTAACTCCACTCACCGGCTCCCTATCAACCACCTACTCCCTCCGCGCCTCACCCAACCTAGCCTTCAGCTCCCGCTTCGGCTTCAACGTCTACAGCTGGGAAAGCGAAATGGTCGCCGGCTGTGAACTATGGCGGAAACGAAGGAAATCCCCGCAGCCGCCGATCGATGACGACGGCCTTGAATGGGCCAGGCGGAAGATGCGCATGACCGATCCCACTGCCTTTCCTCCCGTGGATCCCCCCCCTACTCACAATGGAGACGAGGAAAATGAATCAGTTCTGAAGATCCGCGTCGATCAGTCCTGGAACGTGCGGTTGCTGTGGGAGGGCCGTGTGAAGGAGCTTCTGGTTAGCGCGGGTGTGGGGTTAGGTCCGAGTTCGTTTTCTTCGTCTTCGTGGGCTGCGACTTCGACTGCGGCGGGGGGTGGGCAGTCTGTTGGTGGGGGTGTTTCTGGGAAGTCGTATTGGCATGGTGTTGGGGTGTCGGTTTCGTATTCGTCGTGAGAGCGACATATTCTATACTCTGTATATGACCTGCATCGTTCTTTGTATATAGCGCTTTCTACCATGTCCTAAATATGGATTAGGATAGAATTTACCCAAGATTTTACGAATGTTAGAGAATTGAACCAGCCGTATCGCATACTTCACTTTATTTACATTTACTTTTTTATTTATCGTTGAGATATATAGCCTGAACTCCACCAGCTGAATGGGCGAACGTAAGCAAGCTTATATAATTCCCCAGAGCGCCTTTTAAGAGCCCGATTGCGATTCATGATCTGTATCCCTGCCGGTACTAGAGCGGCGGCAGGACTTTGTGAGGAAGATTCCATTGTATGTCGATTACAGACGGGCGTTGATGATCTCGACGACTAGAGGTCACATTGTTAGTCTATAACTTCGACGCTCAATTGGCGGAAAGGATTCCTTACAGGCAGGCTTCAAGCTGGCACCGCCAACCAAGAAACCATCAACGTCGGACTGCTTGGCCAGTTCGCGGCAGTTCTTCTCGCTAACGGAGCCACCGTAGATAATGCGGACGTTCTCAGAGGCCTCGGCGGAGACGGCGTCGCTGAGCCATTTGCGGATGGCGGCGTGGACCTCCTGGGCCTGCTCGGTGGTAGCGACCTTGCCGGTGCCGATGGCCCTGCAGTATGTTGTTAGTACTTAGTGTGAATTAATGTGTTTGTGAGCGACTAACCAGACAGGCTCGTAAGCAATGACGACCTTCTCCCACTGCTCCTTGGACAGCTCCTTGGCGACAGCGTTGAGCTGCCTTCTAACGACGTCGATTGTCTTGCCGGCCTCACGCTCCTATGTAGTGTTAGTCTACTGGATACGTGGGGAATAGAACCGAGCGAATAGAATAACTTACCTCCAGGGTCTCACCAATGCAAAGGATGACGCTCAGGCCACCATCAATGGCAGCCTTGGTCTTGCGAGCAATGAACTAATCAGACATGTCAGCCATTCCATTCCCAATCCGGCAGATTCCAGCGAGTAACGTACCTCGTCAGTCTCCTTAAGGATAACACGACGCTCGCTGTGTCCGATGATAGCCCAGTCAATCTTAGCATCCTTGAGCTGCTCAACGCTGATTTCACCGGTGAAAGCACCGTTGGGCTTGTCGAAGACGTTCTGGGCGGCAACGCCAATCTTGGAGTCGGCAGTCTGGCGGGCAAGGAGGAGGTAGAGGGAAGTGGGGGAGATGACGACTTCGACCGAGGGGTCGAGCTTGGCCTCATTGAGGTTCTTGATGATGGAAGTGATGGTGTCAGTGACACCGTTCCTATCATTTCGCCGAGAATGTTAGCAGCTGTTCAATTGCGGGCTGGGATGGTGAAGCTGCGAGGGGGACTGCGGGGCATTGGGTTAGAGCTCATACATCTTGAAGTTACCGCCGACGAAGAATTGGCGAGGCATTTTGGCTGAGTGTATAGAGAAATGAAAGAAATGGAAAAGTATGCAGAAAAGATGAATCTGAACAGTCTGGAAAGATGTGTATGAGGGAAGAAAAGCAGGAAGCTACTAGCCTGAAGTAACCGACGTTTATGGAGTTTATGACGGAAGACGAAGAGAAAACGGGAGACGGCGGGGCTGAAGGCCTTCATGCCTTACCGAACTGGCAGAAACAGGGAGGGGCTTATCCATAACACTTGTCCTGCGTCACTTTGGTCCACTTCACCTCACCGGGGAGCTGATGAGCTGTCCTGCTGCGTGTACATGTGAGATGATTCTTCAATTGGCTCGTCTAATACGAAAAGGATGTCCAGGTAGTTATCTGCGGAGTGTAGGCTATTCAAAACTATTGTTCTTTATAATTGCATGTACCTAATTTTTAACAGACAAGATACTAGTAACGCCCGTTTACCCAGTGGTATCCCTGTTGACCGATTGACCGAAACCCCAAAAGTGTACATTACAGCATGGGAGACAGAAAGGGGGGGAAATGAACGGAAATAAAATCAAAATGATAAGGAGAAAGTTAAAGGAGCGTAGAGAAAGGCCCAGAGAAGTTCACAGGTAATATCGACGCTGAAAGAGACCTGGTTCTCGAAGCGACAGGTGTCGGTCCAAATAACGCGCTTCTTCGAGTTTCTCGTCCAACATCCGAGCCTGATGCTCGACCAGCTTCTCCCGCCGTTCCACTCTCGCTTCCCGATCATCCAGGATTCGCGTTCTGATGTCATTCCTCTCACGGCCCTTAAGCAGGTTATCACCGACGTATGCTAGGTCCAGGTCGGTCGAGTTCGCGGGTGCTTGCACAATCTTAGGTCGGCTCCGGGGCTGTTGCTGGACGGCACTCTCTTTCGGTTGAGCCTTCGCAGTTCGCTTGCTTGATTGCTTGCTATTTGCTGGGATCACCTCGACATAGCCGACTGGGTATTTCGTGCGGTTGAGCTTCGAGTCTGAAGCAGTCTTGGTCGGCTTCTTGCGGGAATGAGTCCTGTAAGCGACCTCAGGGCGGTTCTGCCTTGACGCGGAGTTTTGGCGATGAAGACTCCCGCGCCATGATTTCGGTCTTTTTGGCGCCTCGTCAATAATGTCCTCAGAGCCTTCGGTAGCTGAGCTTTCGTCCTCAAAGTCAAACAGCTCGGACTCATCATCTCCTATGCTGCTCGACTCAGGAGGCCACTCTGCCTCAGGCCCAACGTGCAGACTTGACGACCGGGGTGTATATTTCGCTCTGGTTTGATTGTGAACTTCTGGCCTCATGAAGGGTTGATCTGCATGATGATTGACTTGATTGGGGCCAAGACCACGATCATGGCTCTGAGGATGCGCAACAGGAGCGACTGGGATGATACGTATACCCGGATTTTGGGGCTGAAATTGAGGGTTGTTGCCTGAATGAGGTACCCCGTGATGATGCATCTCTGGTTGTTGGTGCATTCCTGACCATTGCGTCTGTTGATGGTGCTGCTGCCTTGCCGTATCAGCGTGAGCCTGAGGAGGGAAATGTGGTTGCTGGTACGCATGCTGAGGATGTTGCTGCGCTTGATTCATGTTCGCTGGCATTTGTGCATGGCTGATAGCCGGCTCACTCCATTGGCCATTCATCTCGACAATTCTCGGTCTTCGCACATCTTCCGCTACGAAGTTGTTGGGGTCGACAGGGTGCTCCTCCCTGAGCTTGGAATGAGTCTGGACATCCGCTGGTTCGACCGTCACCGGCCTTCTAACAATCACCACATCCATCGAGAGCGTCTCAAAATCACCGCGACGAGCACCCTTGCCTTTGACCGGCTTTGAGTCTTCCTTGATGTAAGCGCAGGTCCATTCGAATCGAGGGTCACTGCGTCTGTGCTCATTGATTAATTGATCCACATGGGTCCGTTTCAGTTTTGATAGTGCTTGATATTGCTCAACAGCAGTAGACTTCTGTGCTCGCTTCTGCACCAACTGAAACAGGTCTGCCTGGCTCAAGTTCATCCTTGTTTTCTGGACTTGATTCCAAGTGGACTTTTGGCCGGGTGCTGCCTCGGCCTTGAAGAAGGTGTACCCAAAGTAATAGTATGGAGAACGCGTGTGCTCTCTGAAGGGTTCGGAGCGGCCTGTTTGCTGGTAGCTGCCTTGGGCAGACCTTTGGGGGTTCACATGAAGCTGAGTCATTTGGTCCGCCAGATATCCATGATCTATCTGACCAGGATCATGGTGCTGAGTGATGCGAGGATCCTCGTGCGGACCAGCTGGCGGGTGATGAAGAGGAGGGACAGGCGGACCCATATTTTGATTGACGATCACCATGGTTTGCCTAAGTGTGCTTTCTGTACCAGCACCAAGACGAGAGCACAGTCCTAGGAGGTAAGGGAAGTGTCTCCAGGGCTAATACAACATATACGTATCAAAGCAGGGAATACCAGAGCCAAGGGCAGTTAATAGCATATACAGATGAGGGTGAGACCATAAACATCAAGGCTAATGGAAAGGACACGGAGACATCTTTAAGCTCCAGGCAGAAAGCAGGACCTGGAGGGGCTCTTTCGGCCTTTTCAATGCAAAAGGTGGCTGCTGAGCGACCACTCAGGTTTCAGTGTGAAGTATCCATGCGCTTCTGCCTGCCATTTTCTCTGCACTCTCTTCACACGCGACAGAAAAAATTTTCGACCCTGCAGGGAATGAAGTCATGGGCAAGTCCCCCTGGTCAGGTGGATGATTCGTCGATGATAACAAAATAACGACCAGAGGTGTCGCAGACCTGCATATCAGGCACAGAAACACGAGTGTAATGGGGCGCAGGACGTGCCCGGGCAAGTCTATTGCGAAGGTCTGACCTGGTTGCTGAGGCTGTTCCTCCTGGTCGTGGAGGCCTCAGCCGCAAAGCAGTGGCTGTGCAGGAGACATAGCAAGCGTGAACTCAGGGTCGAATGGAGGACATTCGTCAATGTTGGTCTAGATCAGAGAGTAAGCAAAACATCAGTTTGACTGTCCAGAATACTATGTTGGGGATGTAGATGATTCCTGCAACTGTGGATGCCCTGTACTACCGCGGAGCTGCATCACCGCCGGTCTCCAAAATGATGAGTTGCTTTTTCCGCGAGGCTCTGCTCCTCAAGCAAAGACTGGAATTGCAGCCTAGTCTGCCGTCACCTTCCCCCAGTGTTGTATTTTTTTTTTGATAATGGTACCTTCGTTCTGTGACTGGTGGATGGGAACGTGCAAGTAGAGAGGATTGGGCACTCCGTGCCGCTCGATCCTGCAGCTAAGAGATGTTCAAAGCAGGCACCATCGCGCCTCTGTGCAGTCATGCTCATCAGCCATCCACAGTGCATAGTATCATGTTTTAAGCTAACTAGGTAGTCCAGTTACTGTATCCTTGCCTTTTGACTTGCAGTAGTAATCAGTGATAACCATGCAAGTCCCACAGGCCACAAGCCAAGTGGATATGCTCCTTTGTTACTGCAGTGTTGTTGACTTGCTTGAAGAGACTGAATACCTGCAGGGCAAGTCATCCATGATTGCTGTGGCTTGAAAGAAGGCTTTTTTTTGGCCCCATCTTGATTGAAAATATCGCTCATAGTCATCAGTCATTGAGAAATGATTGGACAGGGGTGGATGGCCTTTGGCCTCTGATTATGTTGCCCTGGTGTGCAAAATTTACCCTTTTTTTGCCCAGACAGGCGGAGGCTATCCTCATCACCCCGTCAGTTGCTTAAGTTATATAGTCTAGAAAGACTTGGACTGGACTGTAATTTAAGTGAAGCAGCAATGTTGGCCCCAAATCAGTAATAACTCGACGTCTTCTGTGTTGTCTCTTAGCGAAATATATCCTGGCGGGGACACTACTAATAGGCCTTTGGATTGGGAAAATGAACGGGTACGGACAGGACTCTGTAGTTGTCCCCTTTGAAAACATGAACACTTGAACGCCCTTTGACGAAAAATAGAGCTCCTGGTTCACGGATGATCCCTTTGAGGTTGTCTGCCTGGGTTACGGAACCGGATGCCCTTTGGAGGGCAACAAAGATTGACTTAGAATAGCTCCATGACAGGGTCCAATTACAATAGCACGAATGATGCTCCTTGTCATACAATATCTAAATTAAAACGCTCCCTTGTCTTTCTAATGTCAAGATCTTTGTCAGTCGGAGAATGCAACAAGAGAGCACCATGTTCTGTGAAACCGGTAAAAAGCTGAAGAGTGTCCAAAGAGCACTTTCGAATTGTGAGAGGACAATGACTTCCATATGAGAGGGCATCTCCATATCTGCGATCTCTTTGTCTAGAACTCGGCGAAATATCCAACATGAAACCCTTTGTTGACATTGCTTATTTCGTTATTCAGGTCAATGTCTTTATCAACCGCAGCACTGAGTATTGCCCTTTGTCACTGAACAACGGACCAACCTCCGGCTCATGATGCCTTCATCAATCTTCTATTTTTGGACTGCAGCATAGAAGAACCGGAAGCGACCTATGGAGGTAGAAATGCCTTTTCCAGGGTATATAGCATACGCACTTCCCGCGTATGACTGTGGGAAGATTCAGAAATCATTACTCCAATATTGATTCTTTTATTTATACAACCTTTTCAGCTTTTGCATATACTAGGATGCCAGATTCAAACAACACCCCAAAAGAAGCTGCTGCAGGTAGCTCAGGGCCCAGGTTCGGTAGCTACACCCCACGGAAAGATGCACTTCCATACGTCAATAACAGCCCAGTCTTCAATCCCGATGACTCTGGGACGGACAGAGGAAATGGGACGAGCGGCACAAATGTGAATAATGCAGCGAATACCAACAATGCGACGAATCCGACTGTTGCCCCAAATGCTACAGCCTATAGCGACACGACTGACTCTGATGGTGTTGGTTTTACGGACAATTTGGGCATAGACCTTCAGAGAATGCCTGGTGATAACCGCCAGCTCGACAAAATTATTCCCCTTCTCATTCAGCCAGAGAGTGCGGTTTCAGCAAGATTCCCACTTCTTCATCGAGTCATTGCGGGCCGACTAAAGACAAGCCTGGATCTGAGGGGAGGACGACGGGTCTCCCGGTGCTCTCACAAGTACGGCCTAGGCGCGAGCACTCTGAACCAGACCAAAAAACACAGACCTGACAGCCATGCCTTCCAAACGAGGGTTGCCAGATTCATAAACCGATCCAGGAATGGGCACGCAACTGTCAACGCAAGACTCAAGGGTATGTGCCAAAAGCTTCGTCGGAAGGTGAGACTATCTGGTTGCATTGGTTCTGGAGGTATGTCCACCTGTTTCTTCTCTTGGGGTTGAGTCTTCTTTGACTAGTAGCTAATGACCTGATATAGGCTTCGGCACCGTGTTCCTTGCTCACAAAAATACTCCTCATGGACAGGCTAACTTTGCCATCAAGGTTCACGAACATAACACCATTGCGACCATGGAGGATGGATCACACGGACCCGAGATGATGTTCTTCGAAGAAGGTGGAAAAGTTCGTTATATACCATGTGAAGCAATGATCATGCTCTTATTGACTCACAGCCCAAGGTTTCCAACCCTCCACTCTGTCTATACTGAGAAGGATAAGGTCGCGATCGTCATGTCTGCTTGTATGGATTACGATACACTCCAACTCTCAAAGGGAATGAAAGAGACGGACAAAGTCTGGGCCGTTGAAGGGGGTCATCTCCGCACTCCTGAAAAGGAGCCAAGGTTGAATGAGCTTCAGGCCAGCAAGGTGTCGACGCAGCTCTTGGAAGCAATCGCTTACCTCCGTGATATGAACATCACGTATGACGATCTATCCTATCGCAATTACCTTGTGGGCGAGAATCTTGACGTAAGTAAATTTCAGAATTTCAGTTCCGTTGAAGCTGCAAGGCTTGCTTTTCTTTTGTTGCTTCTTTCCCCCCCAAAATCATGTCCGATTTCCCTGAAGTTGACCATCGGGGGCATGGCTAACAGTCTCTTCTCGAATACAGACACAACTGATCGACTTTGGAATAATGGGCTTTGGGCTGGATGATCTTGACTTCATGGAAAACTCCCACACCTACGTCTTTTGGCAAGAATATCAACTGCCTCCAGAGGTTGCAATCGAGTTGCTGAAGCCACAACTGCGCGAACATATCAGAAACAAAACACATGGAATCGCACAAGTCAAATGCAAAAAAGATACGCGTCAAGCCGCACTCTGGAATTATGCTGTGGAGGTGTTTTGTTTGCTGCATGGATACGCGCCCTGGGAGGATCCGGAATGGGACGATGACATTAGGACCGTTGGCGAGTTCGCTTTTAAGCTTATTGATGGCCGTTGGCAGGAGCTTCCCGAACTACACGACGAAGGACCCCGCTGGGATGCAGCATATGCCAGACGGAAGCGAATGATCAACGAGGAATTGGCTGTGCGGGAGGACTTGTCGCAGGACTGTGTGGACGCGCTGCGAACGATGCTCCAAAGGGACCCAAAGCAGCGGCCAAGACTGAGCGAGCTGATTTCGTTTCCTTGGTTCGGCCAATGGGCTTATCACGGTGACAGGTTGTTCATGCGACCAGATATACCTCGCGAGTGTTTCTTCTAGCGAAGGTAGAGGTGCATTTCACCAGATCCCGCATCGGATGCGTGATACACTTCTCTTTTTTCGGCGAAAAGTATACAGGCAAGCATCCATTCCAACGGTGATGTATGACCGCGACGAAATTGTTTCCTTTCAGCTAATTTTAGTTTTTCCTCATAGAGATCCATGACTTTGATTAACATCAGAACCATTCTAAACCTAGTGTAAGAGCCGTACTGTAAGTAGATTCCGGGATGCTGACAAAACCACAGGGCTTCTGATAAAGGAATTATTGACATTCGTAACTCATTAAGGATATCCCTAGTACCACCATCTAGCAATAGAACATATTCCTGGGTGGATATCCGGCATAGGCGTAAGGGAGAAATTTGGTCGAGTGTCGTATCGTTACCGCCGTAGGCTGTCAAGCCTTGCCTGAAGATCGTCATCGCTGGCAGTCCCACCGGCTCCAACCGCTTGTGCAACTTTGGTCTCGCCAACCGCTGTCTTCTGAATATCTGTCGGGGTTTCACCCAGCTGTGGTAGAAATGTTAGTAAAGCGCAAGAATGAAAAGTAGCCCGCTGGATGGACCTACCGCCTGGTTGAGGTCAACACCGATTTCATCCAGAACTTCCTTCACAATGTCTTCGCCTTCCTCCTCCTCTCCTTCTAGACCTGTAGCTTCGTCTATGGCATCGTCCATCATTTCTTGCCGTTGGTCCATGATATCGTTCTCTCGTTCAAACTCCATCGCAATCCGTTG